GCTTTCAGATGGTTGGAAAGCAGAATTCCATTGGTGTTTGCATGCAAACGCATGCTAATTTTGATGGCCAAAGGCCATTTGTTAAGAATTTTTTTATTCTTGACGTTTGATCATTTGTGAGACATTTTGTTTAACAAACGCTCCTCTAGGTTGTGATCCCGATGCTGGCACATATTCGACATACTCTCCTATGCCCATGACTGAGAGCATATCCATTTTCTTTCAGCTTTGCGCCAACATGCAGATGACGGTGACCTTTTGTGATGTAACTCAAGCATTCTGTCAATCAGAGCCATTGTCTCGACCTCAAGGCAAGTTGTACGTGGAGGCCTGCGATGGTTTGGATGTTCCCAAAGGCACCCTCATTCAACTTGTGGCACCAGTGTATGGATTAGAAGACGCTCCGATCAGATGGCATCAGACTGTGATCAGTTTTCTGCAGGAGATTGGTTTTGAGCGAAGTCTTCTAGAACCGTGCTGGTATGTGAGAAGAGATGACCGAGGTGAGGTTGAAGCAATGATTCTAATCGAAGTTGATGACTTGAATGTAGCAGCTCGTCCCAACCTCAAAGATGAGTTGCTTCAGACTCTGGAGAGCAGGTTTCGCTTTGGCAAAATGGAGTTTGATGAGGCAGACTTCGCCGGTCGACATGTCAAGGTTCTTCCCGGGAGAATCGAGATGAATCAGGAGAAATACATCATCGAAAAGCTTCACCCCATCAAGCTTCATGGTGGTCGCAAAGGCGACAAATCAGCGAGGCTTCTTCCCGAGGAGTTTGAGACCTTCAGGTCCATGCTGTACAAAGTCGCTTGGGTGGCTCATCAGACTCGACCAGAAGCAGCAGGTGCAGTGAGCATTCTTTCCTCTAGACTCAAGGAGGCTGTGATTGACGACATTTGCTGTTTGAACAAACTCATCAGTCACCTTCGCAACACGGCTCAGCAGTCACTAGTACTACATGGGTTTAAGAACGAGGACATGATCTTGATCTCGGCATCAGATGCCGGAGGTGTGGACAGCATGCCATCGAGTGGCTCGACAGAACTGGACACCATACAGGGCGCTTGGGTCATCATGGCAGCTGACAGGTTGCCCAGTGCATCACAGAGGACCAAGGTGAGCATTCTGAGCTGGCGCTCGTCCAAGCTTCGCAGGAAGGTGGCTTCGACGCTAGCAAGCGAGACGCTGGCCTTTAGCCAGTCACTTGGGGAGGTTGAATGGATCCAGATCATGATCAGAGACATTGTGAATGGAGATGTTTCGAGGAAAGACTGGACTGAGTCTTTGACCCCTCACTTTCCAGTGCTTCGAGAAAATTGTGAGTTGGCCGATCGACTACAACAATGTCACATCACCGATGCCAAGAGCCTCTTCGATTCCTTGATGAAGGAGTCTCCCATGTCAAGGCAAGATAGAAGGACGTCAGTCGAGCTGAGCATCATTCTGGAGTCTCTTCAAAAGGCCAAGAGTGTTGTGCGATGGGCTCCTCATCCACGTATGGTGGCAGATGGTCTCACTAAGGCAGACATCACTCGAACCAATGGAGCATTGGAGGAACTGCTGCGAACGTCCAAGTTGACACTTTGGGACGAGAATGAAGAACTTAGATGTAGAAAGGAAGATCCCAAAGCCAGAGGCAGATCTAAAGGTGCCTCCACTAGATTCCGATCGAGAGAAGCCGACTCAGCACTTCTGATGTTTTTCTGCAGCCAAATCAACAAGAATTTGGGGGTGCTGTTCGAAGTTACCATCATGTGATTGATTTGTTGCTTGTCGGCTTCAGCCATCGATCGTGTCCCCCTTACCTCGCATGCGCAAATGGTGGAGAAAGGCGCTTTCTTCGATCCTCACTAGGCCTCTCGGATCTGACAGATGTTTTCCTTCCTCACACCAGAGATTTGTAGATTGTTCTTTTGGTCCCAAGAGGTGTCAGGAAGGTCGGGGTCAATGCAACATTGTTTGGTCCCAAGAGGTTGGAGGATGTCGAGATCCCAAGAGCTTGGCATTGGGGGATACCATTGGTGGCATTGATGAAGTATTCCATCCTGCATGACAGTACAAGCTGGCTGTATTATCATAGCTTATTCATTCTCTACATGAATCATGAGAATCAAGGACCTTGCGTGTGTCTGAAATCAGGAGCTATAAGTTGGAACCCAACTATATAACTATGGTAATGTCAACCTATGATTTATCAACTTACCCTGAATAAAGCAAAGCAAATCTCAAAACAAATTAAACTATACACCCTGTTTTCGCTGTTTTCACCTGGACCTAGATATCCCCAATCTAGCCTTTAAACATTGTCTTGAATAACTGGTTCCTTCTTGGGATTCCGGATTCCTTCTTGCATCCTTCCCTCTTGATTTCATCAGTTAGACTCACCAAACCCCAACGCCTTCGGATCAACATTCTTCATAAATTCCTATTGCAAAACCCACCAACAATTGATCAAAATCAGTCTGGAAAGGGTAACTCCCCTTGAAGCCACAATACCCTAAATAAAGTGTACCCTAAACAAAGCTAAAGATTCTCACGGGCATCAAACATCTTTATAATTTTATAATACTCTTTGTCCATTTGTCTCAATTCCTGCACTTTGCTGCAGCTGGTGTTCCTGCTGTGCTGGATTCCTAGTTTCTATATAGATCTAATTTCTACCCATGTAGTTCCCAAAAAGCAAGGCCAATACTACCAATAAAACAGTGTTAAAGTCTGTTTTAGGTCACTTCAGGCAGGGGGGACCCCCATTGATAAATCAGAGGAGGACATTGGTGCTCCGCATGCTTCGGAAACAGGGCCCACGTCGATTTTTTTTTGGACTTGTGGTGCAACCCAAAGAGGACCAGTCAATCAGCGACCCACCACTCCCCACCATCACTTCACCAAACCGACCCGAAAGGCTCTTCGCGGCTACTGCAGTGCGGGCTCCTGTTGAGTGGAGAATCATCGCACCGTGTGGAGTGTGTGAAAAGGCACATTTCGGTGCACATACCACTATTTCAGTACCTGCTTCCAGAGAGCTCCTGTTGTTAGTGCGGAGCCCAATCCAGAAACAGCCCGCAAAAGACAAACGTTTGAGCTCCCTGGCAGCGACATGGAAGTGGACAATCCCGCTTGGAAGTAGACCATTTTCCTCTACAAACAGGAGGTTGTCCACTTCCATGTTAGTTTAAGGGAGTGTATCAGAGTCTATCACACTAGGAGAATTACACAGAATACTAACTTCCACTGTCTATGGGCTTCTTCGGTGGGGCCGAAGGATGTTGAGACACCCATGCTGCCACTCCACACTTGGAATGTTGATCCAGGGGAGGTGTTCTATGTTTTCTGTACTTGGAACATAACATATTGTCAAGATCCTGACATCATGGCCAGATGTTGAATACCACAATGGTGATAGGCTGCGATCAAAGTTCAAAGTACTCCGCATTCCCTCCACCAAACATTCAAAAGGCCACCTGATCAATAAACACCTACTCGCATGTTCCTTTGTTGGATACTTTTGCAGGGAGGTTGGGAACGAGTCACCTGCCAAAGTTAACAGTGCTTTTACTTGTATTATGTTCACATCCATTATCCATCTCCTGGATGTCTTCCTTATGGAAGATGCCGATGCCACGTCTCAAAGTCAGACCCCCAAAACCGACTCAACAAATCTTGAGAACACTTCAACCAGTTGGCGTCTCAGGATGCTGGGAGGGTGTGTTCAACGGATTGGCCTCCATCGCAACGGGCCACGCCGTGTGTCACGGTGTCAGGCCGCGGCATGGCCTTGGAGGCCTTTCAGCGAGGCGCTTACTCCAAGGAGCCGAGCGGTGAGCTTACTTGGTTGGCGAACAACGCGACCGCGTCGTTGTGATGAGTGGTGATTGCTGTGGTCTGTAGACTTTTGCGGTGTTGTTAGGGGCATTCCAAAGAAATGAGGATGGGGAAATGTTGGAAGAAGACATGAGGTTCTTGGTTGTTTGGGAGCTACACGGAATCTGGCACGTGTTTTGGTCAACTCGAGCATCAAATTAACACATCATTATGTCTCACCTGCCCGTGTAGAAGTCTAGTAGAAGAGACATATATTTGGCTCAACAGGATTGGGAGGGAATCCCCGAACGAAACATCTGTCGCCCACACACCACCCAAACTGGATAGCTACAAGCGCAGCTACCAGGCGGGGCACGCACCCGGGCAACCGGCTCTTTAAGGGCTACAGCTGCTCACACGCACACCGAATCCCCCATTTTGGGAGTATTGAAACACCGCCGATCTCCTCGATGGAAGACATCCTGCACAACCTGGAACCATGTGGAACCCCATGTCGCACTCCAACAGTTGGATATCCTCCACGTCATGTACTAAGTGTTTCAGATTTGGTTCCTTCACCTCCTGCCTCTTTCACATCCTCAAGGGGGTGGGATCGGTGGTCCCGCCCTATTGCTCATCGATCTCTGAACCACTGCTGGTGTCGATCGTCTTCCTACGAAGACATGGAAGTCCTTCAGATCAAAGGAAGACCACCTTGCTTCGCGCGTCGCCTGGGTCGAAGTGCGTCGCCTGGGTCTCCCTCCCCACGTGGTAGGAGCATTGCTTGTGGGGCTGGGGCCTGGCACGTGGAGCCTGAGGCCGGCGGAGTGGGCAGAATGGAGTGGAGTGACTGCTAGAGTAGCGGAGTAGCCAAAGAGATAGAACATTTGGGGACACGATTCAAACTATACATCTATCTATCTATATATATATATCTATTCATACATACCTATACTATGCATTGAATGATTGCTTTCTATTTAGTTCAATGCCTCTAATTACAAGGACAGACTGATTAGACAGCTGCTGGAGGTTTTCCGTCAAGTTCTTTCCTAGGAGCACCAGTGCCTTTTTCAAGGCATGGGTTGCCCAATGTGATCTGGCTTTGCCGATCATTGTTTTTTTGCTAATCTATTCACATTAGTTGAGCGCCGTAGGCCGGTAGGTGGTGAAGCTTACAACATGTTGTCGAGAAATCTTCTTACTTGGCGAGGCCCTCCAAGTGCACCAGGTTGAGCTGAAACCAGTGAAAGCCTGTTTCAAAAGAACTCAGAAATGAGGACCCTCAGGATTCTACTGTCAACTTCCTCTGAAAACCAAGCCCCCTTGGGACCTCATGCAGGCGATAGAATCACACATAGTCACAAGGGTTTACATGTTAAACGATCCGAGTAGTATAGCTTCATCCAGAGAGAGATACATACATCTTCAGTAAGAAGTGAGACCCATACATCACGGGTTTGGATTGGTTGGGATGCTTTGGTCTGAAACGGACGCACTTATCACGCCAAAAATGCATCAGACAACCCAGGGTCTTTGAGTCGTCACCTCAAGCCTTGACCTGAACTTCCATGGTTTCGAGAGGTATGGTTTGGCAAAACCCAACTGGAAGGGGAAGAGGGAATGTTAGAGACATTTGGCGACTACAACCCTCTCCAGATGGTGCTGCTCCTCGCAAAATCGAGGGATGAACTTAATGCCTTGAAAGGCTCCTGCGGTGTCGCGGATTCTGACCTTCTAGCCTGTTTGCGAGACGCCACTTTTCCCCCATGGTTCCCTATATCCAAATCCCTCTAAAGGTCAAGCATCATCGATTGGACGTTCAAACAATCAAACATAAGCAAACTCTCATATTGGAGGTGTTGAGATGGTGGTAGGAAACCTTTGCAAGATGTGAAGATTTGTTTGCTTGGACTTGGATCTTGGCAGCTCAATGGTTTCTGCTTGAGAAACCAGCAGAGCATTCTGGTGAGTTGGATATGGATTGTCGATCCCGAGGAGGGTACCGTCCAATCACCTGGTAAAGTCAAGTCATGTATTTTTATTCTATTATTATAGTCTATCCAATCCGAAAGATAGGACATTGGCAGTAGAACTTGGGGGGTCCCTCCTTTGACACAATTAATTGTTGTAGGGAGGTCGGATACTTGGGCCTGTTTGACCCAGTTTGTCTTATGGTTGACATCAAAACCCAGGGATGCTACTGGACTTACTGGACCTAGTAAGTGGTCAACACATGAAAACCCTGAGCACTTTGGCTTGGCTTGTGCCTTATGTAAGAAACTATGGAAGATAATAGACGGCAAATATCTTTGTTCTTCACCACGGGAACTCACAGGTGGATTTGTGGAGGTTTGCCAGGCTGCCATGCACCTCATTGGGCCCACCACCAGAGACCCGTCTTGGGGTGAAGAGGGGCACCGCCGCAAGGTCTGGCCCGCTGCGAAAAGAAAAATATACGGACTGGGGAGTGCTGGACAGCGAGTGGACAGCGATGGAGGCCGGTGACACGAAAATGTTCGGGTTCCACCACATACAAACCCCCTGCTTTCCCATTGTGTATATTTAATTTTACATGTATATGTTTGTTTACACATACATATATATACATATATGCTTACAGTATATATATATGTTTATAGCTCATATCTATTTTTTGGGATGCCTGATGATATTTTTGATGGCCTGATGATACCTCGACATGATGGGGGTTATTTTACTTGTTCTCATGGATGCCCAGCTTGCCGTTGGAAGGGAAAACGGAGGTGCTAAACCCACGTGCGCTGTCCTGACTCTGGGCAACCCCAAGCACATTGCCTAGGAGAGTAGGTGCATGGAACGAGATTCTTCGCGCTACACAAATGCAGGAAAACATAGCAAAACAACAATCACATTAAAACTGGGCTTTCGGTACTCAATGTGGCAACGCCCTTCTAACCTGCTTGTTGGCGTTTCCGTGGTCAAGACCTACATGGAATGACTCGACTGGAAACCATTCCGGACAGGACCCCCGACCACCACCACAGTGGGAACCTGTCAGTTTCGACATGAGTGGTTCTGTGTGTGTAAAGATGAGTGAGGAAAACATCGTTGGACTCTCCCGGCTTGCAAAGATCATTTTCCCGTTTCGCTGCCCGGAAATCGTTTTGATGATTTTTGAGAACTTTTTCGTTCGTTCATTTCGGGTCAGAGCCAGATGCCTTCATCTTGGGTCCTTTGAGGGACCGAAGTACGTAGCTAAGGACGCTTCCTTTTGCCACAGCAGTGCTCTCAGAGTTGTCAGACCAGTGTCGTCGATGATCAGTTTGACCTGTAGGGTAGACACCAAAAGTGCTTGCACATGAAAAGTATTGGTCCAACTCAAACCACTGAGCAATCATGTTTAAACTTAAACTCGATCGTGGCCCCACGTGACTTTGCCATATCTCATTCTGGTTGCTTGTATTTGTGTTGACTATCAGTTACCATCAGGCACCTTATTTAGACAAACTAGCAGGCAAGTAAGAACACAACACAAACCTCAGCAAGCAGATTTCCTTTTCAAGCGCACATCGTTCGACGGATGTTCCAGACATTTTTTTATTTGTCTTCTCGTAGACTGCAATTACCAGGTCATTGCCCTGCAAAGAATCAAGATGAATCAAGTATCATCATGTCAAGACATGATAGGATTCATGTTCTGAACATCGACACGACTATGACTCCACATGCAGTTCCCGCTTAGGCAGTTGTTCCTGTGGTCGGTTTTACCAGACCCACCCGAGAAAAATCTATGAGCACAACCACCTTCTTAAAGAAAGGACAGGCCATCATATTGATTCATATTGTAAGTTTGCTTCAACGAGATCAAACATGGTTTTGGTATACAGAAACAGTGAAAGAACATTACACCTTACATCATGCTGCAGAGGAAACATGTTTATAGCAACAACCAGATTTGCAGACAGTATGATATGTAGAGTGAAAATCAGTGCATACCATTGTGCCACAAGTTGCTGTTTAAACCAACAAGTACTCCAACAAGTATGTTTCCACAATAACGTAAGGTCTTGTTGGTGCGTCCTTGACATCAAAAACCGGTCGTTGTGCGTTCCTTGGAAAACATCGGGTCTTCCGAGGCCAAGGGAGGACTGATCCTTGGCCCTTTGGGTTTGGTGCGCCTTGGCCGAAGAGGGGAGGCGGGTTGCAACGGGTGGAGGAACGGACACAGTCTTCACAGTCTTCACATCTTTGAGGCAACAAGATTGGCTAGATACCTCATGTTTACTTGTATATTGGTGTTGGACATGGAAGAATAACCTTTTAGTTTTGGTAGCTTCTCAACATTTTGGTTGCCCGTTTTTGTGTTTGGTGACTCTGAGGTAGGCCTTAGGTATATCTTTGTGAGCCTGGGTCAGAGCTAAATACACAACAATGCAGATATGGTCAGTACCTCAAGTTCCCTGTGAATGAGGTCAGCTGGCCATTCTGCCTTTGGTCAGATTTCTATGGCCTGTGAAGGAGGTCCTGAAATGCTCCGAACCTGCAAGTTACCTCAATCTCTCACCTTGGCGACGCCATCCGAGGTTTGTGGCGGCTTTGTCCCATCATTGCAGCTCCGGCTGCGCATGTGGTGGGTGGTGGGGTTGTTCTCGGTGTTGCAGGTGAACCCCATCTACCCAAAGCATCTAGTTTTTGGAGACGTAATGAGACGTATGAAGGGGTGACAACGGTGACAGGAGCATTTAAGTTTGCTATGGCTGTTGTTTAATGTTGTTCATGAAGGCCAGAATCTGAAAGGTGAGTGTACAAGTTGTGTTTTCCCTGTTTGCTAATAGCTACTAGCATAGGTGTTTTTGTTTGTTAATTGCACACAAATACTTATACATGCACCCGATGTACCCAAGGCACGCGTTTTGAATGTGTCACGCTCCATGAGCATCGAAGGTTCTACACCGCCCATCCAAGTGCCCAAGGGTTGACTGCTTTGTTGTAAGGTTACCGTGTGGTAGCTGTTTACAGGTCGCCATGTCAGAGGGTTCAGGCAGGCATATTTAGGGGTCATGGTTCATCATTGTTGGATGTCTTTTTGTGGGCCCACCATCTCCAGCTTCAAATCTCGAAAGCTAGCGAAGCTAGCTGGAGTTACTCTTGCGATAGCAAGGTTTCTTTCGACCGGGTGCAAATCCTAACCCCTGATTTTTCAGGTCGAAGACCCCCCCCCCCCCCCCTCCCCTCCTCCCCTCTCCCCACCTCCCCTCTTCCCACCTCCCCTCTCCCCACCTCCCCTCTCCCCACCTCCCCTCTCCTCCTCCTTGTCTTCCTCCCATCTTCCCTCCCTCCTTCCTCCCTCTTCGCAAGTTCGACTCCGTCCTGTCGTCGCTCTTTGGCATGCGGTTAGCGTTGCGTATCTTGCAGCCGCACTCGCTCACTCTCACTCTCACTCTCTCACTGTCTCACTGTCTCTCTCATCTCTCTCATCTCTTTCTCATCTCTCTCATCTCTCTCTCCTCTCTCTCTCTCTCTCCTCTCTGTCTCTCGTCTTTCCGTCTCTCTTCTCTCTCTTCTCTCGCAGGAGGATCCGGGCAAAGAGCCACATATAAAGGACTCTTCACCCCTGCCTCCAAAAAGAGCGCCGTGTTTTTTCCTACCTCGCTGCCCTCCACTTTCCCATTCTGGAGCGCTAGCTTTCGCCCCCCCCTTGGCCTCAAGTAGCTTCAATTACCAAGCTGGCGTTCCAATTCATGAATTTGTTGCTTCTAGTATCTTCTAGTCAAGTCTAGTATAGTGTTTAAATATGTCTCGTTAACAAAGCGAAGGAATGCCACTCCCGGTGTTCTGATAAAACACTATGACATGATTGGCCCACCTAGGCATGGGCCTTCTATTGAAGCTCGCCACGAGGACCAGCACCAGGCGACGCGGCGATGTGTTTAGAATCAACCAGGCGATGTGTCGATTGGGATGGGTCATGACCGGACGAGCCCCGGAGCACCATGTGCAGGTCGCCACCCGCTAGGTCCACCAAGGTTGACCCCTTCGTTTTGACCCAAAACGGCCAAGTCGTCGAGCTGCACTTGGAACGCATGGATCTATGGAGTCCAGAGCCTCCCACGATCTCCCACGATCTCCAACCATGTCAAGATGCCATACTTGCATAGCCTCAGTAGGCTGACTCTGCGATCTGGGCGCGTGCAACATGTTATTGTTGGTTGTAAGGTATCGTGATTTTGGCACTACCAGTTACAGCTGGGTTTTCGCATGTACTTTTGGAGTTCATCACGGGGTTGCCGTGTTCAAACAATGAGCTAGCAGCGAAACCTGAAAGAACCCTTTGGCACAGTCTTAAGGTCCTCAACATACCACTTGACCCAGCAACAGGAATGGCAAACGGCTTTTAAGGCTTTTCATTGGCACGGCCAATCCTCACCGCTGGTTTTTCCTTCTGGAGACCAATCTTCACAGGTCCTTTGGCTCATTGGCTTGCAACATCCTTGGGCGACGAGCAACTCGGTTCGGGTCGATGATGCTCGATGAGCATCTCCACCAAGCAGAGCGCGCGCTCTGCGCTCTGCTTGGTGTTTTTGGGTAGTGGTGCCCATTTTCTGCATTCACTTAGGGTCTAAAACCAAACCTTGTGCTGGTGTGGCACATACCTATATCTTTCGTAGTGAAACAGCTTCAATTAGAGAGGAAAGACACGCCCTGTAGGGAGACAAGAGGGAGACAAGCTGTTTCCTTTTAATAGTGGAATGCACCAAGAGTGGAATGGTTGCAGAAAGTCACCCTTTGGTGGAGGAAAAGTTACCTGGCCCCAATTGGGCAGACCAACATCAGATAACATCATCATCCGAGGCATCAACCGACACCTTTTGACTATTCTTGACCTAAGGGTCGCAAGGCAGATATGGGTCGCATGCTTTCGTTGCACCACGGGTATCGGTGTATGGCACCAACGACTCCACCTGCCACAAAAGGTTCACTTCACCGCCGTTCACCGCAGAGGAGTCGTTCGCTTCAGCACGAGTCATTTGGTATCAAGGATCAGCACGTGCTAACGGGATACGTTCGGATCAGACGTGCGGGCCGGAGCAAGCGGGCAGCTGTGGGGCAGCTGCCAAGACAGATATGTTCCTTTGTACTGATGGGTCAGTCAGTTTCTATGTATATATAAAAGTTTTGGGAATATATTCATAATAAATGCGTAGGGTTTTGAGGATGTATAGGCATTCCATTCAGGGATATTACAGTTTTTCACCCACCTACCCACCCACCCACCCACCCTCGACATAGCCCCTGAATTGGATGTTCAATGTTTGAAGCGACCATCGTCAAATTGGTCCAAGCCCCCCAATGGATCTCGTGTCCTGTTTTTGGAAAGGGCTAAGGAACGCATGAGGTGAACGCATGTAATTTGGGTTCAGAAGATCCGGAAACATCGCAGAATGTGTTTTCAGGTATAGATCACACCCACAAGGTATAGCACTGTACTCCACGGTACTTCAATGTTTATCCGTTCTGGGGACATGGTAGGGCCCAAGATTTGCATGTGCGAACGGGCCTCAGGCAAAGATTCTCGTCGACTTCTGTTTGGTGCTTACACAGTATGGCTTCGCGATTGCTGACGCTCTGCTTGCACCGAAGGTATGGGTGTTGCTTGCTGTCACTCCGGTAGGTAGGAAGACGTTTGGGGTCGGATGGCCTGGGTACATGGAGGCCCTGGAGGCTGCATTTGAAGCCTAAGACAACCACAAGAGAAGTTTTTGTGCCTGCATGTATGGACCACATGTTAGCTCATTGTTTGCTCTTTGCTTGGGGTTTAGCGCAAAAGCTTGGCTATTGGCTATTGTGGTTTACGCTTTTGGTACCCCGGTTGAACGACCCAGATAGACTTTCAAGACGTGGGGTTGATCTGTTGATTGATTCCATGAACATCTCTCATGGTGGGATCCACATGGACCCACCTAGTTAGATATGATGCAATTTGGACTTTTGCCATCCTGCGACCAATCTTGTGTGAGCTTCTTATGACCAGCATGTTGAGGAGCATCCTTATTGTATATATATATGGTTTTGTATATACTGTATAAGTATAATTTGTCCTTCGTAGTTGCATCGCACCTTAGGTCCTGGGTAAGAAGGGTGAATTATGTGTTCATCATGTTTAGAACACTTTCCATTTGTCTTTTGTGTCGGGTGTTGGGCGCCTGAGTCTCTCAGGACATCATCTTCATCGTTGGGCACCTCAGTTTTGCTTGACAACTCCAAAGCTCGAAAGGATCATCGGAAGCAGCATCTTACAGGGGTGCGGATAGGGTGTTTAATTTTTTACCTCTCAGATACAGTTGGAGCGGAGCCCCCGAGCGATTTGTGGGGAGCGATCTGGCGTTGCAAGGGGCTTAATTTTGGTGCCTAACTGCCTCAACCGAACTGCCCTTGTCTCGAAGGCAGAAGAACCAAACTTTCAGCCTTCACCCAGACACAAACAGATAATGTCATGATCATTGACATCTCGTCCAATGGAACACATTTCAGTGTTCGTTGGCAAGAATGTTGGACCATTGGACCATCATTGACATGTCGCAGAATCGGCGGTTCACGTGGGAGTCTCCGGAGTTGGAACGTGAGGTGGAGAACGTGAGGGACGTGGTTTGTTGGGAGACCAATCAGAGCCTCGGCTTACACCTGGGTGGGACATCACGAGACACCTATACTGTAGGACTTAGACACCTTCGACGGGGGGTCATCTGGGCTACGGCTGGGGTACCATGGGTTGTTCAACCTCTCTAGGTTTGGCAGTTGTCTCCCGTTGTTTCTCCAAGTCTTTGCCCTAACGAGACCCCATACGGGGCCCATGGTAGGCCTTTGGTAGGCCCCTTACAGTTTGCTCGTTGCCCCTTACAGGAGCCTCTGGTTTGTTTGACCTCTGGAAATAATGTAAGTTTGTGGTTTGAAATCTGGAAGGTTTGGCTTCGAACTTTCAAAGGCAGACACCTTGTGGGATGGACCATGCTACTCATGAGAAGGGGACGCCACACCCAGTTGGTCGTGCGGTTTTGACCACTTTAGTGTCGAAGTTCGGTTCAGTGGCTTGCTCTGGCAAGCTTTTCTGAATGAGAAACCAATCTGGGAAGGTTTGAGAGTTGTACATGATCCTTGATGCAATACAATCCATGAGGGCATAAAACGATGAGTGATTGGGAAAAAAGCTGGACAGGATCTTTAAGTGCAACAAGACATAATATGCGCCAAACTCATGCACCACACAACATTTGAAGCAAATCATGTTCTTACATCATCACAAGCTGAACGTGAGGGAAGACTGCCCGATGCAGCTGCAACAACTGGCCCGAATGCCAGCAGTGCCACCCTTGCAGAAGATCATCTCCCCGCATCAACTGCTGAGGAGCGCTTGTCCTGGCAAAGCGGCGGTGTGCACCGGCACATTGCCACCTGGCAGCGTGGTGGAAGCTGGCCGTTTCTTTGGAACTTGCCCAATTTCCAGAGCCCAAAGTGTTCACTGGTGTGGCAAGCGCGTAACTGGAGAGCTCTACTGTGCACATCTTCATGACATGGGCCTTGTCAAGCAAGACCGCTTCGGCAGTAGACGTCCCATTGTCCCATGTGGGCAATCAGAACAGCCACTTTTGGGAAAACGATGGTCAAATCATCAACAGTCTTGGCTGGGGTCCGTCACTCGGATTGTGGGCCGATTGGGCAACACACCCAAGTGAAGTAGCAAGAACGCTATTGGGTGGAGGCCATCGCTATTAGTAACAAAAACTACTAGAGTAGAATTCAGATGCATTCAGTAGCCTCCCCGTTGAAGGGTGGCACACTCCCTCAGTGTTTTGCTCCGAACGTGTGGCACTGGAATGGCTGTTTTTCGGAGCAGGCTCTTGGTGCATGCACTGCCGGATTGAGACGTCTAATCTGACAGTATTGACATGTGTTCTGATATGCTCTGATATGAGTTTTGACATGTGTCTTGCTATACAATAACCTTTGTGTACCTTTCAGGGTGAGACAGATAATACCATACTAAGATGAAGTCTGCGAAAAAGCAGAAGTCTGCGAGAAGACAACTGCTGACGTTTGAGACCAAGAGACCCTCACTCACCTGACAGGGTGACTGACAGGGTTGGTATGCAATGTCTGTGGTAAAGGGAACATACGGCAGAAGCTTGTCCGTCGTAGGAGAACGCTGGCAAGGATAGGAGAACGGTGGATCTCACCAAGCAAGCATTTGAGCGTTAAAGTCACATTCACCTCTTTGTTGGAAGCCTTGACTTTGTTCGAGATTGTGCAAACTTTTGGGAAAGTGTGAGCCTGTTGATTTGTATATATATATATACATAGTTGTGTATGATGTTGTATGCAATGATTCCTCCCTGTAGCCTGGCATGTTCATCACCGACCTAGCCTCAGTGGCACCATCTTCTTGGTTTCAACATTCTTCAAGTTGAAACCGTGGCTTCGGAGCTGGGAGATTGAAACCTCCAGTGATGCTTCGAGCCAAAGAAACATAGCCAGGATGGCCAGCTTGTAGCTTAAAAAACTCAAAAAACAAAAACACACAAATAAAGACGAGTCCAAAGCCGTTCCGGGCTGCCAACGCTCAGCCCGGAACGGCGGCTTCGGAGCGCTCCCTGAGGATCTGTGTGTTGCCCTTCACGTGGCTTCGGTCTTTGCAGGTGTCGCGGCGCCGTTCGATAGGATAGAAGAAAAGTCAGGGATTGATCTTTAAGTAAACACCACAGCTAGAGTTTATTCATGTGTTTTTCCAATTTTTGGTGTTGAAAACAGGCGACAGGCGACTTCAATGGTTAGATCCAATTTAAAGCATGGTCCATTTCCATGGGGCTCTAATGAACATATTGACATGCGGACACTAGAGTCACTAGAACACTGTTTTTTTGAACTCAGGACGTACATGTCAAGATCGGTTTGTAGATTCAAACAATTATTTATGCATCCACCCTACAGCAGTTGAATGTTGAACTGGCCCATGCATTGCCAATAATTTCGACAGGGTTCTCGTACCAACAGTTCCCAAACCTCAAATAGTTTCCTGCTGCAACCCATACACTAGGTGATTTTCTGAATCTGAAGAATCTGTGTTATTCTCAATTGAAGGAATGAGATAAAGCTTTGTTGACAGCTTTGTGTCCGAACATAGAGAGGCCCCGCTCTTCCCACGTTTTTTTCAGGTACTGACGGTCCCAGTCCTGATGTCAAACGTGGTGTTGTTGACGCTTGGCGTCAGACATCGGGAGCACAGAAAATCCTCAAGAAGCTCGCATCTATGAGGGTTCCTGAAAATGGTTCTAGTTTGATCTTGGTTGGTGTCAACGGCCTTTTTAGGAATGTACATTTATGCAATTCACTGCGATTCAGATTATGATATATATATATATATAGAGAGAGTTTCTCCGTGTGGCAGGGTTGAATGTTTGGTGGAGAATCCCCAAAAGCAGTCTTGTTGCATGTGATCGAGGATGTGCATTTTGAAGGAAACGGGGATGTTTGTCCCAAGTCGGCTTTACAGCGTATTATGATGTATTATGACATACTTTCACATGTGAAGTAAAGAGATCATTGATACAACAATGATATTTATAATGTCTAATAGTTTCTAATATACCGTAATTAAGTGTTATAATAAATGCATTCTTTTTTGCCAGCTCATGTGGCATCCCCAAGATCTGAGAATCGAAGCATTTGTGGTATTCATTCCTGTAGGTTTTGGCATGTTTTCCCTGTTTCGCCATATCTTTGGGCAGGTCGAACCTTTCATACGAAGGTGTCATTTGAGGGGTCACAACTGTCCTCGTTGTTTGTGTGCTAAGTTCGTGCTTCTTTTGGAGGACTACCCAACCATCGCTAGGGTGTGCCCTCAAAGGGTGCAGATTCTCATGGACCCATCGTGGATGCCCCGAGGTGTGGCATCTCGTGGATCTACTACTGCAGCTTCGTACAACTAGGCTCGATGGGCGTCACCGAGCCCATCGTTGGCCGATGGGTGGCACAAAAAGAGAGGTGGGCGTGGTGGGCAGAGACCGAGACCCACAGGATATTCCATCCGTAGAACGTGGGGAATAATTCATGATGATGTCCTTATTACTGCTGGGCTGAGGGATAACTCAATTGTGGTTGTATCAAGCTGAGTGTGTGGATCGTCATGTAGTTGGTTCAAACTTGTTCGCTTGACGTTTTGGGAACCAGCAGAGCGGTAGAGAGAGCGCTCCAGTGACCCGGCCAGTTCGTTCCAGGTTTTTTTGGGGGGCCTCTACGTTTTTTTGGACACATGTGACAGTCTGTGACAATTCTTGACCGAATTGAGACGGGCAAGACAGTTTCCACAGAGTGACACATGTGTTGTAGCGGAATGGTCTTCAACAGTTGGGTCCTGATCCGATATTTGGGCTCCATCAATCTACATCAGATCGAATGCTGGCACCCTTCAGGCGACCGGCATCTTTAAAAACCTTGCTTGAGAAGAACCATCGATCCAAGAGAACAAAACGATCTCCAACAATAGGCTTCCAACGAGTTGCTCCAATCGTTGCTCCTGGAGAAGTGGCCAACCACCGGGCAGTACTCGCTCCCGGAGAACACTGGTGCTCGTGCGGAGCACCGGTGACTGGTCGGTAACCGGTGACCTCGGCGGGCTCGGTTGGTTCGTAGGCACTCACGGCATAGCTCCGGGCATTGTCTCCTTCAACTGGGCGGAGTTTCCGATTTTCTTTGGCTGTGCCTGGGCTGGCGCGAATTGGAGTGGATGATTGGAACTTGCAAACGTCTCACAAAACCCTGGAAATGGAGTGACTGATAGGGAGATTTTAAGATATACCGTTCATAAATACTCGTAAGTTTGATGACATTGTGGTGTCTTGGGATTCTTCATTTGACTGCAATAGCTTGCCCAGGTTGTGCCACCTGGCTCCAGGATAGACCACCGTAGCATGACAATACCAGGACAATCCGATAAATCATGGCAGTTTTAGGTGTCATCTTTGATCTCTTCTCAATCCATCTATGATGCACCGATCTCCGTCCCTCCCAAGGCGCTGTGTTTTCCTTCGAAGGGGTTGGCAGGGACCCCCAGGTGGAGGGACCCGACGTGTTGTTGGGAACATTAGATGAAAACATAAGAAAAGGACAATCATGTAAGGCGAGCACCTAATCATTCATGGCAAACCTGATGCACTGACTCACGTTTGCTTTGTCAGGCTTGATCCTTCCGATACAGTTTGCCATGCAGTGCCCTGGCTGAGTTCCATTGTCCACAGAAAACAAGCGGTGTGAATGATCAACAAGGGTCAACAGGCCACCAACGACTTCAGTGTTTTGCCCACTGTTCCCATGTCATTGTATTTGCTCCCAAAAACTTTCTGAAGTATGTGTCAGCAATAGCAGCAGGAATATAAATTATAGTCCAGAAAATTGTTATTCTAGTAGTAGTAGTAGTAGTAGCAGCAGCAGCAGCAGCAGCACCAGGAGCAGCAGCAGCAGCAGTAGCAGTAGCAGTCGTAGTGATAGTCATACGGGCAGTGGTAATAGTGTGTTTGTGGAGTGGGAGTGGGACATGGGACTGGTGGTTCTTCTTTTTGCGTTCGTGCAGTGTGGAGGATACCAGTCCTCGTTTGGGCTCTGTCGACTAGTGCTTCGAATTCGGTGACACCGACGGAGCCCCGGAACTCACTCACTTCGAGGCAGCCGGCCAAGTTCCCGAAGATCTTGCAGCGGGCGATGCAACTTGGAGAAGTTGGACGTGATCACCAGGAGGTTTCAAGATGATTTAAGGTGAACATTTGCCAGGGTGTGGAAGTGCTGCTCTTTCCCATCTACCATCTACTTGTACTGTACCTGTTTCTCTGCCGCATACACTCATATTCCAGGAGTGTGGATGAAGACATTGGGAAGAGTTCAACGAAAACGATCCAGAAGAAGATGTCCGTCACAGATATGAACAACTTGCCATCAGATTCAAGGTTTTGAGTGTCCTCCACCAGGTTAACTACTGAGTAGTTGGATGGCTTTCACTTAGTCACCCTTTGAAGGCAGAGAAGCTTGACGTTGAAGCAACTGGAACCACAATTGAACCACGGCCACATTTGGCTCATTCAGCTTATGAATCTTTATTGCATTTTTTTTGCTAGGTGATACCAGTAGCAGCTTATTTGGGCATGCGGAAGCCTAGGCCTAGTCTTCATGTCAAAATTTCATTGCTTGCTTTATTGAAGATGTTTGGACCGGGGTTAGTGTCACCTGCTTTGTCTTCCCCCTCCTTTGTAGGTTGGAGAACCCCTGGCACCTTTCTGACTTCGGTCCTTTGTTCTGAATGATGGGGCTTAATTAGGTTCGTGGCCCTGTTCTTATTTTGGGATTGTGAAATTGAAGCCCTTTTAAGTTCATGCATATTGTTTGAGACAACATGCATGTGTTTGCTTTAGACGGCAGTGCGTTACTGTGATGTCACTGGTTGTCCAGTGTTGGCACTACGGTTGCTTGATTTTTGTCCCGCCCGCGTCCCTAAAACTAGCGGGTGTTACTGCCCTCCATTGCTGATGTTCTGTCTTGGCCATGTTGGTGATCTGTGCGACACTGATCCGTGGGCCTCATACCCCCAGGTTGACAGTCTCTGACTGAGAAAATAGCGCGCGGCTTGGAGAGTGGAATGTGTGGAGCGACACTGTGGCTCTCGCTCATTTTCCTGACACCCTGTCATTAGCTTGGGATTTGTGGAGGGCTGAACCATTGAGCCTTCTTTGATTCTGTGTTGGCAGGTGCTCAACCAGGATGCCACTATACTATATATTTAAAGTGATGCATCACTGCCACGGCCACATCGGTTAAAACGATGGTGAAGCAGCGATCGGAGGATACTGCGTCAATTGAGAAATGCATCCTGATGTTGCTTTTCATGCCATAGTTGTTGTTCTGGTCGGGCGCTTGGCTAGCATTCAAGCCTCTTGGATTATTGGAACAAGATTGCTTGAACTGAGCAATGGATATGCCGACAAACTTGGACCGCTCAATCAAGGCAACGCTGCATGAACGTGAGGTTCGCTACAAAGCCAGGCTGTGGCACGCTCTCGCATGTTCTCCTCGCTCTTAGGGGTTGGGGGAGTCTTTTGATGCGCCCTGCCTTTCACTCACGCACTCACACCATGCCGCCCTGGTGGTTGCAGGCAGGCCAACCAGTATCCACGAGAAAGGGATTCGTCAATTGCCTTCTCCTAGCCCAACGCGTCCTCCAGGCAACAACGGCTTGTATGCGGGAGCGGGAGAGGGGAAAGCGCACATGGGCACTCAACCAAAGTCATGAAGCTTGCTTCAAGGGTTTGCTGTGGTCTTTGGGGTGCCTTCTTTTGAACTGACATTGCAACACTACTGTCGCTTCTTCGATTGCGAAACATTTTGACAGAAAAGTTGATCGTTACAGGGAAATTACAGAAACTTGAAAGGGTCCTAAAGGTGAAAAAAAATGCAAATAAGGAATTGTAACTGGCATTAATGGACAAAAATGAACAAAACTAGAGAAAATGAACAATTTTGAATGGACATTGACAGGGAAGTAAAGCAACATTGAAGCGACGTGACATGCAGGAACATTGAAGGGTTTGACAAGGGACCATATATGATCAATACATCATGGAACATGAAACAAATCATTGAATGGTGGACGTGGGTAGTCGTGTGCAATGTTATATATTAAAACCTGGCTGAATGAACTTCATGAGCTGACAGAGTGCCGAAGACTTCTCAACAGCAATCTTCGTGGCAGTCATTCTACTTTTCCACTGTGTGCTGATACACACTAACCTGCAGCCATGGCAATATTGGACCAACAACGTTAGTTTGTTGATGATTACTCTCGGGATCCCTCGGGTGTTTCCGAACTTAACACGGTTTTGGCTACAGACCCAATGCAAACAATTCTCCGAGGCTCATCTTGGGGACCCTGTTTGGTTCCTTCGGCATGTGCGGCTATGCTGCTTATGGCCGCTTGGTTGGGGCCAGCATGTTTGCCTCAGTGTAGGGCCTTGGGATATTGCATACAGTTACAGTGCACTTGCATGACATGCCCAACAAATCACATCCTCATCATTGTTGAGCTACCCAACTCCGCTGAATCATGTGACATTGTACACATTGTAAACTCATACACTACATGATTCACTGAACAGCATTTCAGGAGTACTGAGTTTTGGCCGAAAAAACGAAGCAGTTCCGAAGCCTCGAGGTCTTGAGACGAAAGATATGCTCCTTGGAAGATCAGGACTGCTCTCACCTCTCTATTCTCTTTGGGGATGAAAGAATAAAGGCCGGGAACCATAAGCTTTTGTAGTATGATACTGACATTTTATATGTGTTTACTTGGGTACCCTAGTTTGAGCCATGGCAGCCATGGCCACCTCCAAAACCGGGATTGAGCATGTGGCGTTTTCCTCCCATGTGAATGCTGGTCCGGATCGAATCAACTTGCCCCCATTTAAGCCCTCATTGTTCATCCAAAGTGTTTTAGGGTGTCCCCGATTGGAAAGCCGACCTCTTTGGAATTGCAACCAAATTCTCACGAACCAGGTGGCTCCGGATTAGCTGTTTCAGCATAGTTTCGGTCATGAGAGGTGATGCAGCCATTGGATTGCAAGGCCAAATCGGGTTCCCTCTCTATTCTTCTCATTGACACACTCCTGAAACTCGCTGTGTTTGTGCTGCGATGCTTCTGGTGGCTGCGTTTTGAAAACCTTGGAGTTGTTCAGGACACGTCAAGCAACTGAAGCTTTACATTCGAGAAAATACATCAATGTATTGAGTGGAAGCAGAGCTCGCGTAATTGGATTGATCTATGTGAAGTACTGTAGTTGGGCGGAACCCCACCAAGTGCGTGTTCAGCTACCTTCTCGTACCGCCGTGGGTATCTGGGTCTTCTTATTCTGAGGCTTGTGCAGTTATATCGAACTCAAAACACTGCACCTTGGGTAAAAATCACAACACACTGATAATTCAGGCCACTCTCTATACATTCACCTGCTGATTCTGACCTGAGGATCACTTTTAACATCCCACAGAACAAGATCACCTCCTTCCTGAGGCTCTTTTATTGCCCGGGCCCTAGGTCCGTAGCATTCAGAAGCAACAGAGAGAGTGGTGCCCAGATCTAAGCCCGGACACGAGTCACGACATGTTTTGTTTCTTAAGTTTTCAGAGTGTCACGCCACACGAAGCAGACATCACGATACAGACTCACCTGAAATGAACACACCTGATTCACCTTAAAAGGTCTATATCAGACACCTCTGTTCAAGAAGGACTGGGATGGACATAAGGGATTGACATGGGCAACCCACGTGTGCAACTGTGACCAGCGTACAGGTGCGACTCAAGCAATGCCCTGGAGAACTGAGTGGGAACAATGCTATCGGGCAAGGACAGAGGTGTTGGATCAACAAGTGGATGAACAAACATGTCTTTCAATCAATTTAACTCCATCGGAAAGGGCAATCTTTTCATATCTGATAGGAAAGGGCCATGGTAAGAAGCCCTCCTTCGGATTCTCCAGAATCGGGGGTCTCCCGCCAGTCCGGAGTCGGGGTGCGCCCCGTCGACGTCTGAGGCCTCGGCATTTTCTTCACGCCACTCGCCGCGTCAAAACAACTCCGTGTGAAACGACTCCGTGTGACTCAGGTTCGACGGGAAACATGAGGGATCATTGGACATGCCATGCGCGACCAAAAAGAAGAGGAGAAAGGTTGGAAATACTTCTTTGCAGGGGAAAGACTTGGCCTGAAGTGCAATCACCAACTCTCATAGCTGAAACCGCACACACAGGAAAAGTGGATGTAATCATCAATGCAATCCAACCCATACAACAAGGATATTAAACATTACGTCCACTGGATCCAACCCATACCCAGTGGATTACATTGCTAAACAAAAGCTTCTGACAACGAAGACATGAAAAAGCTTCATTTTGTTTAGGCCATTCCAGCGCCAACGGGGGCTTAGCAAAGACTCTGGACGGTCACACGGTCACCAAACGACCGGAGTGGGAACTTTGTTGCTACGTCCTGGGACTCTACTGTAGACTCTCGATTAATAACCCCTCGAATTGAAACACCTCTACGATCCTCTACGTATGGGGGAGTTTTTTTTTTTTTTTCAAAAGTCTACATAACCGTACCTGAGAGAGGGCATCCTGTTGAGATGAGAGTTTGAGCTGAGAGGTGTGAAGCGACACGTATTGGAACTCCGAACGTTCGGCCGGTGGTGAGCTGAACGACCCATCTTGTCCTGTCCAAACGGTCAGAACGACCCTTCTAGAACGTAGCTTTAGAGTGATCATGGTTGCCACCTCTACAGAGCGGTACGTGGGACCTGAAAGATTGCAGAGCAGATTCATCCAAAGCGCAGAAGCATTGCCCCCGTGAACGTTGATCATCATGTTGTAGTTACCCCCCAAAAGCAATCAACCATTTGCATCCATTTGCGCTTCGTTTCGACATCGGAGAATGGTCCGACTGGTCCAGTGGGGCCATGGGTCTGGCTGAGGTATCCAGTGATGCTGTTTCCGCTCTACCAGATCACCGAAGCGTCAACTGGAGTCATAGCGGGGAAGGTTCCCAGAAAACAAGCTGCAAGGAAAGGCGATACTCCGTGTCCAAACGGATTTTCCACAAGTTTGGTGTGACAATAGTGTGGAAGCCAGAGCATGTCAGAGTAATCCAGGATATTGTACCCAAGTTTTATGTTGATTGATATTGACCTTGAAGTTTCCCATGGCATGCTTCGGGTGCAGGATTTGGTGGAGCAACAACATGATCAGAACGTGGTATATAAATCATCGTAAGTTGGAAGGTGGGCTGACAGGCATTGACAGGCAGGAATATATGTTTGATACTCCATGTGACTTTAAAGAGTCAAATATATATAGTTATATATATGGACTATATATTACACACGTGAACAGTGAATGGCACCAAGCACATTCAAATGCCGTGTTGCAATTTAAAAGCACCAATCCAGGACCACCAAACTTCATCTCAGGACATCTCGTTTGCTATTTGATGCCTCCGAGGAAGATCCGCTGCCTCCGCGACCAGCGCTACTGCTGGCGGCGCATCATCTTCCGTTCCACGTGTTTCGGCTAAGGAAAAGGTGAGGCTGTGGGATGTATGGGTCATGGCACCCTGGATGGCACCCTCAATGTCAGTTCTTCAAGGAAACGCGCGCGCTCTCTTTGGGCAAGGGACGGAGGACCGGGTGTCCAGGTTTGGACAGGCCATCCCTTTTCATGTTGGAGTATTTACACTCAGAAGCAGAGAATACAAAGAAAAACAAAAGCAACCAGGAGTCGCTTGCTCAGTTGCAGGCAATGTTGAATTCTGACCAGCAGACGACCAGGCAGTATATATATATATATAGCATTATATAGCCCTCTCATGTCCTCTCTCTAACCACTAGCAGTTTGGGTCAAAGCCAGATACCGAAAAGTATTCTGTGTGAAAACTGACGGGACTATTGATTTCTTGCACGTTGACCTCAGGGTTTGTATAGGTGTGGGCCTCTGACTCCAAATTCATAAGGACATGGACTACATTGACATGAGTTTCAATCAACAAGGTCCACTGGTTTTCATTTTTTATATGTGTGCACTCTAGTAGGTCCACCTCGCCTTTCCTTTGTGGGTGTGGAAAGGAGGTTTGGCCCTGTCGGGACCTACCTGTAGATTCCTAAGCGACATCATTTGTGAGGCGTTCGGGACGGGATTTATGATGGTTCTTAGCATCTTCACGACCAAGTGTCAACAGGATAGGTTTGGCCTCGGAGCATAACAATCCCCATGGATATGAGATGTTGACTTTCCAGGTACACTGGCCCTTTTAATAAACAGTCAACATGAGCACTTCCATCGGTACTTCTTTTAATGTTGACCATCTGTCCATCAACACTACTTCAGCCGCCCTGTGCCCCCAGATTGGTGATCATGACTGGAGTGATCGGCCTCTCGGTTGTTGCAGGGCTTTGAGTGAGCATCTTGGGTGAGGGAGAGATAGGGAGAGGGGGCGATGGGGGTGGGGGTCCACTGGTTGTCCTTCCAATGCGTGAGGTTCTTATTTTGGGGATGGCATCTCCATGCTCTCCGCAAGCCAGAGCCGTTCTCGGGTGGAAACCAAGGTTTGAGTTCATCATGGGTGTATCCCATTCTACTGTAGACAATTTGCGAAGCTCAATGGTTTCCATTTGTCGCAACGCCCAACGACAGTTGTTGGCAAGTAATTGACTCATTGCGACAACTGAAGATTCACTTGTTCGTTGCCAACCAATACTGATACATAGATTCCACTGAAGATGTTCCATCACAGTATACGTAGTCCTGTACCGAAGATATTGTGGGTGAACAGAACTGTCCCACCTCTGTAGTGTGACTGGGTATTGTGTTTCAAGACAGGACTGCTGCCACCAAGTCATCAATGGCTAAACAAGCTAGAAACCCTGATTTCCTACAGTGGCTGTGCTTCAAAACCAGGAGCTTCAAAAACCTGGTAGGTGTTCCGAAAGGCGTTCGCCTAGACCTCGAATTCGGACGGATTCCTGAATACCTGGTGCCTGGTCTTTTTCACCACGCTCCTTCCGTCGGGAGTGGCGTCCTTCGGGTGACCCGAAGGCTTGCAGATTCCGCACTTCGGCCTCTTTCTGGGGATCATTGGATCCCTGGTGCCTGGGAAGATGGGTCGAGTCGAAATGCGGGCCGGTCGGTGCCCAAAACCGGTGGGGCGAGGTCAGGACGACTGGGTCCTGGGTTGTCGTTTGCAAAGGTTGAACTTCCCAAGGGTTTTTGGACTGGGGCGACGCACGAGGTTTTGCTGGATGAGGAGCACCACCTCTGAAAGAGAGGTGCATACAAGATGTCTATGTAGGATGAAACTTGGCTGACCTAACTCAAATCCCAGGTGGTTTATATATATATATATACATAGGGTAGCCAGCAGGAGGCTTTGAAATGTGAGCCATGAGTTCTGACAGTTGTTCAAGGCAGGTGTTATCCAGGCTTTTGCACAGGAGGACTAGTTTTAATCTAATAAGTAGGACCCAAGGGTCCCACAAGAATGAGAACATCAAGTGCTTTGAGGTCCAAACAGGCTTGCTCATGCTTGCTCGACCTACCGGCTCAGGAATCTACAAGGAGATCTCAGAAGTACGAGTGCAGGACACTTTAAAAGTAATAGACCAATTAGAAAGATGGTGTTCTAGGTCGCTAGTCTTATTTAATTCTCATTGTCCCATCCCTCAAGACCACCAATCCTGTCTTCAACATGTCGGCTTCTTTCAAACCATTTCCTCCACACCCACCTTCACCATCCTTCACCTACTCAAAAGCACTCGACTGCCACCCACATTGATGCTGGCGCCGAGGCCTGTTCCATGTTGGCCTTCGTGCTGCCTGCCCTGCTGCACTTCCGGCGCAAAGACCGCTCGGATGCCAGTCGAGGCACGGTCGGGGATCATCGGGACATCTCAGGACATCTCAGGACCGAACTTTGGGCGAAGACGAAAGCAAGTAGTAACAGGTGTATCGCTAGAGTAACAGGTGCCTTACTAGTAGTAACCAAAAGCTATTAGAAGTAAATTTAAATTAAGTTTAAATTAATAGCTTCTTGTTACTACCAGTAAGGCACTTGTTACTACTAGCGAGGCACTTGTTCCTAGTAGAATTCTAATTACTAGCAAAGGAATCTACTAGGACCTTTTCGCGCGCGCGCCCGCGCGGGGGGGGGGGGTAGGAAGCTAGTAGGTTCCCTATTAGTAACAAGTGCCACGCTAGTAGTAACAGGTGCCTTACTAGTAGTAACATGAAGCTACTAGTAACAATCAGGAAATCACATTCATTATCTCCGTGTATAGATGACTAGATGAGTATGAGTGCATGAGATGTTCAATCTACTGTAAGCTGTGGCTATGCTCGTCTACTTTATGAAATCAGATCTGAGTGGATTCCAGTTCTCATGTAAGGAGCCAGGCCTTGAGGTCTTTCCTGTTTGGAAGCAGTGGTCACCACTGGTAATTGAATCAACTCATGGTCATTTCCCTGCCTGGCACACCACCATGTTCAGCTGGCTGAAGAAATCCCAAGTGTGTATCATTTGTCATACGCCCCTTGTTGGTTCATCCAAAATTCCGGATAAAATCACACGCCCCTGTGACATGATGGACCGTTCAATGGCATGTTTGACTAGTTTCTGACACCCCCCCAACATGTGATCCATTCCTTCGCCTCACCTTCTTCATGTGTGGTTATCTTTGCCGAGAGACTTCTCAGGTGGCGACGTGAAAGACCTGTGCATCATTGCCTTTGGAGCTGCCTGGATGGCTAGGGTTGGGAATCTGTTGAATTATAATGAATTATATATGTTGGTGGCCACGGCCGCGATGTCCGCGTTTCGATCAGTTTATATATATGTAATATATGACTAGTTATATGACTGTATCATACCATGTATGCATTGCATGCATGCTTAAAGTTTAAGGGGGTGATGCCTATCTTGTTTAGGCAGCACTAGACTACGCACACCACGACTTATGACAATACCCAGTTTTGTTTAACTCCAAAAAGCTTTTTTGAGTGCAAAGATATTCAGTCGTGCACATTTGGAGCTTTGTGAATGATGGACTCCGAGTGGACCATTTGGGTACTGGGTATCCTATCTGAAGAATGTTCTCACTTCCCGTGTTTTGATGCACTAGTGTTTGAGAGATGAAACATGGGAAGCAACGTCCATGTCCGCCAGACCTTTTGCCCTTTCGCCGGTCTCTTAGGTCATTGGTGGTTTGGTGTCCTTCTCCGTGACCTTGAAGGATTTGATCCAAGCAATGGGAGAGCCAAGCTGAAGATCGGAATGGCTCCAAAAAGATCCGGTGCAATCGCAGCGGCATGCACCGGCGCGATAAAAGAACAGGTCGAGATAGTCGAACGGGAGCACGTGGGAGGAAGATCTGACGAAACGTTGGACCTCTGCGACGTACCTGGTGGGGCCGCTATACCCGAATGGTGGGTCAATGCCCAGCTTCATGCGGCTTCATTATTTAGAAGATGCGAGAGCCGTGCCGAGCTCGTTGAAGCAGAAGGCATTTTCATTTGACACCAAATTGGGTTGCCCAAGAGGAAACTGGTTGAGCAAACATGAACTATTCGCTAACTATAGTGGCACTAACCATGGTTGAATTTAGGCACTACTAATGAGTGACATATTGGCACCACCAACTAGGTGGCCCCTGTCACCATAGTTGGCCAACCACATTTTTGGTGGAGCATAACGTGGCGGACCAGGGACCGAGCCAATCCTTCCAGTGTGATCCGGTCATACGGTCATACCTACAGCAATGACCTTCATACTATGTTTAACAAGATAATGTATAATCCAATTGGACCACTGACAAAATTAAGTGTACATCGAAACAAACCAGACTGTTTCGTTCTTTGAGGCTTCTGAGGCTTTATCAGACTGTGATCACAAACCAAACAGCGTAATTGGGTTGGAAAAGACAAACAAGTAAGCCTCCAAACACAGTGTCCTGTCCAGCAAATAAGCTGCAAAATGTTGCCCTCTCTTCCAAGAATATGTTTCTACAGCTTGTGTGATTCCGCGCCGCAGATGTCGGCTTAAAAGCGGGGGGGGGGCAAAAGGCGTCGCCCTGGGCGCTCTGTGCCCCCCCAGAGTCTTTGGGCGCTCATCGACCGGGGTCGCAACAACATCGACAGGGCGACTCATGGTGACTCATGGTGACTGGTTCCTTGTTGGGGCGAAACCAGTTGTTCGTCAATGAGTCGAAAGCATGTTGAAGTGCTATCATGTAACACTTCCTTTCTTTTTCAGGATGTCTTTATTCATCTATAGAAGACCAAGATTGATGTTCGCTCCGAAGCCAATCATTTTTGCTCCATTCTCGGTATCCATGGCTTCTGGGCCTACCTTCTACGGTTTGTGTGGCGCTCAGAGGGGGGACAGGCCTGGGCACAATGTAACGGAACACGTTCGATGGTTGTAGTCGTAAACCCACCAGCTATTGAACTTAATATCATCAAATATCTATGATTATGTATACATATATATATATTTGGGGTGTCTCTATATATAGAGAGAGAGAGGGGCGAAGGCAAAGCTTCCAATGGCGTTGGAAGAACTTCAAGTTGTATGCACGATGGAGTTGCTTCTCATTATTTGCTGGACTTTATTTGACATCGTATGAATAATATGGCTGTAGATTCAGGACATGTTGTGGCTCAGCTCCGAACGTGACAGCAGATTTAGACCTATCCATTCATGAAAACACACATATGAGGGCACTGAGAGGTGCTAGGCCCTACAGGCCATCCCTTTCCCAATTGAAAGTAGCTGGATTCTTTGAGCTTTCAGACGATCCCATGGATCCTGAGAATGGACCCGTGAAAGCTACAACCCAGTGGTATTGGTTGGTTTTTTGGTTCCATGTTGACCTGTAGGAAAGTAAAGCAATCTTGGACCGACATAATCTTCAGAGGAAGGGGTATACGGCTACATATCCTTGCACACCACGCGGATTCTTTGCACCAATGGTTTTTACCTGACATACAGGATCAGCACAAAGTAGCTTAGGTGATCGCATTGGTGATCCTTCAAAATTAGTCTTTTTCTGTGGAATGAATCGGGATGGTCATCAGAGAAGCAAGCAGCAACACATGCTGAGTTTCTTGAACATGTTGTGACCAGATTTGGGCATGTCTTGTGAGAATCTTGCATAGTAGGATGAAATCCGCTGCACCACTGTGGTAGCAACGAGAAAAGGCTGTTGAAGCCATTTTTGTCTCAGAGGGTCCCTTCGTTCGACACACGGCTCATGTGGAAACCAATCCCAACAGCCCATGAACCGGAGAGAAATCGGATGGTATGGGCCCTATGGTTTTGTTAGGTTAAACCACCCGTGTCTCCAGAGCCCGTGTATCCAGACGAAACACCGGAGCTTGGAGGCCGGACCCATGGAGCTTGGAGGCTCTACCAGGCCTTCGCAGTGGCTGTGGGACAACTGTTGGGAGGGGACCCTTCAGGCGAAATCCACACGTTCAGTGAAGAAAAAATGAAACCCACAGGATACATGCATCTCTTGGATGCTTCACACATCACTGGAGACATGGTCTAATTAATTATGGGTATATAGTATGTATGTGATGTGTAGATATATACTGTATATATACTATATACACAATTATACGCACATAGTACTGTGTCATACAGATATTATCATAGATACCATGTAATTGTAGAGCCTCGCAGACCGGCGATGTCATAATATGGGTTGTTGTTTGTGTTGCGCATGCGTGCGAGGGTACTCCAAAGCATTGCATGTTTTTCACCATCATAGCACCTATGTGTTCAGTCAATGTTTTGTTAAGCTTTCAGAAACCAAACACGGTCATAGTCATAGTTGTTTTTAATTGGAACAAACAACGATGGAAATACGGATGTGTTTGAATCTCGGCAAGCCAACAAGCATTGTATATATGCGTTTTTGCATTTGGAGCCAAAGCAAACTGTTGTTTGTTCCTACACTGTGTTCGCAATTGTTTGGAGTGTTAAGTTGCTTGCGGGCTGTCCTTCGTTGTTTCAGGCATCTTAGTGTGTCAAGCTGGTTTTGAAGGCAACGAAGGGACATTTTTGTTCCGGCTGCTCCCTTTGATTTATGGAGAAGGGGTCTTTGTGACACCGCCCAGTACTTGGTGTGGAAAAAGCCAGATTAATTATATAGTGTGGTTGGACGATTGGAGTTCAACGAGGACATTGTGCCCGGGCTGTGCAATTGCTCTGGTTTGAAGGGGCCAGTCTTGCCATTGGGCGGCCGCAGAACATGTATAGCGGTCACCTGCGCTACGGCAAGAATGACCCTGTTTTCATAACCACATTGCAGACTGACCTGAGCTTGCACAAAGTAACCTCAGAGGCTCTGATCATTGCAAGTCGCTGCTTCAGCCTTCTTGATCCCCGTTTGCTTCGACAACCCCTATCTGTCACGACAAGCAAAAACAAAACAAAAACCAAGCTTGTCAAGCCTACTATGGAAACATATGGAAGCCCACATGTTAATGTTAAGGACAATGAAGATTATGGGCTCTCTCGTTGGATGCTGCGTTTCGAGACCCTTTGCAGACCCTTTTCAGCTTGAACGCTTGAACTTAGAATCCAGCGAAGGCAACAGCACGAGAGAACTCCTCGAAGGGCAGGCTCAAGCAATGCGATTTAGACATGATGCTCAATCGCCTGCAAGTGTTCGAGTTCAGGCACAAAGTACACATTCCAGCCCATGTTGCAAGAGGATGCCGGCCCTGCTTTACAAGATTTGTGTTGCATGATGTCTCTGCCACCTGGGAAAGCAGCAGCCGGAAGCGACCAGCGACAACATCATCACACCGTAGCCGAAGCGACTCCAGTGCAGTGATTGGAATGGCGAGTCGGTCTGCAAAGCTTTGCATGGCTTGGAGCTGGGCACGTTGTCAGCGCATTCAAGACCAGAAGGTGAGAAGCCGCTTTTGCTAGTGAGTATAGCGCAAAAATTGATTAAGGCTCCAAAAGTCGACCTCCGGAAGCAGCTTCAAGCAGCTTATGAGCGAAGTCGTTTGTCCTGCCAAATCCCAGAGGGCGGTGGGGTCGGTGGCGGGGGAGAACCTCCCCCGTAGCTAAAGCTAGCTGCTGGCTAAACATCGCCGGAATGGGCTGGCGCCCGGGTGCCGGACCTTCCAAATGCTGGAGACGTTTGAGCTCAGGGTTGAAAAGACAGCAGAGTTTGAACAAGCATTTACTTCCGGTTCATATGTTTCTAAAAGTAACTAATCAACATATACACAAAGTATTCAACATCCTAACGTTGGCCGCAAACTGAAAACTTTACCTTGTCACCAACAATAGCTGTGGACAGTAATTTGCAGCTGATGAGGTTTTCTTACCTGGAGTTTCTGAATGAATCTGACAGAGGTTCATTTTTTTCACAAAATTTTGTTTGAGGATAAGCCGCGTTTCCAGAACAGGTCAGTTGCTATTAAAGAACAACCGACAGCAAATTTCAGTCGATGAAACTTGTTTTGTGTTTTGACATGAAATCCGTAGAGATGCAACACTGTATTTGTTCCCACTACTTTGTGAAATCTGAATTGTGTATTTGCAATTGAAGAAACTGGAATTCCACATGCAACTTTCAAAAGCTAGCAAGTATACAAAAAAGACCAACCACGCATTCCAATGCACCATAAAACAGGGTTTGGCCAGGCTGGGGTCGGTAATCGACATTTTGGGCAATGTATATAGAACGATATTCAGTTGCAGTCTGGACAGTTTTTAATTGTATTTTAGTGTGTCATGCGAAGCGGAACATCACCAGAACATATGAAAATCTGGTCAAGACTATGTAGTCCCCATGCCACCCCATACAATGAAGGTGCGTTCTTGAAGTTTATTCCACACATGCAACCAAAAAAGGTTTGCCTTTTGCTCGCAAGTTGTTGTCGTCAATTTTGATGACAACATGAAATTGTTTTCTCAAAGTTGTGTTTCATCTCACAAACAAATGAATCCTGAAAAATGGTTGCCGAACACAATGTATTGTTTCTCCGTAGGTTTCACTTCCAAAATAGATCAGACAAACAAACCTCATCGACTGCAATTTGTTGTCGACACGTTAACACCTGTTCTGAAAGTTTCGCTATTTTATTTTCAAAAGTGTAGTGAAGAAACATGTTTGCCTTCTCTACAGATGTCACCTCCAAACAAATTCGATATATGCCAACCCTCACCAACTGGAAACTGAATTTGTTTGTTGTGTTCTTGCAGTCGTTGAGACTTCCAACCCGTTGCGTGTGTCAAAGACATTGAAGTATAAACGGCGTTTCGTTGATATGATAATCTTTGCAAATTGAAATGCACATACATATATTTATATATGTGGTTTGCAAAAAGTCATCTGTTTTTTCTATATATATATGATTCTATGATATGATCATTAAGCGAATCGGATTCTCAGTGAAGTTGCGTGCCACCCAGCAGCACGGAATGCACAACAACATCCTGTCAAATCCTTCGGTATCCCCCTATAGTACACTCCTGAATGGTATAGGCAACATGTTTTCCAATTGTTTCCTTTCGTTGTGCAAACTTGCAGGTTCTCCGCCTCGTTCGCCTCCTTCCGTGGCCAACGCTTAGAGCGCCGCGTGGCGCTCGTGAGCACCGAACAGGACGAACGCTGGGTTTCAGGGTGCGCGGTTAACTGGAGGGGTTTCACAGATCAGATGAAGATGAACTACTGTATTTTTCTGATATTTTTTGGGGAAACTGCTGCAACAGCGTGTGCTTGGGTACTGTAGGCCATTTGGAGACGATCAGATGGACTCGCTTTGACTAATTGTTTGAGACATTGGAGTGCAAAGGTCCAAACTACTCTCGGAGTCCATGTCACTTCTCAGGATTCTGAGGAGAGTAAAGTCTGCTAGAAACGCATCCAGTCAGCATCACAAATCATCGGGCCATGGCAGAGGAACGGCTGTCCGGTTCATTGTTGGGAAAAGGTCTTGCAAAAATACCCAGGACCTATTAGTCATTGCCAAAATGTTTATGTTTATAGGATGCACTCTTTCCTCACACCAACAACACGCCCTCCAGCATGGTGGCAGGTTTCTTCGCATTGTTCGACATGTTGTGGTCAAGGTTTTACAGGGGAATTGCTTGCCACAAAGCGCCAAACACATGGTGGAAACTGGAATTCATGCTACCCAGCGGTAAGTACGTAGCGCAAATAAGGAGTTCGTGTTGTCAACTCGGTGAACCCATTTTTATCCAGTAGGATCGACATGAACAGTTGGGGACTCTGCAGACTCGTTAGCAACCAGACGCAATTCAAACGTTACTCGTGCTGTCAATCACTCCGCATGAACGAAAGGAGCATTGTGTTGGTTTCGTTGAGATCACCTTCAAAGGTGGTCGCCCGGAAAAGGAGCTCTCATCAGCCACATGCTGGGTGTTGGAGTTGCTAGGCACGGCATATCGATTGCCAGATGAACTGGTGGGCGGTTGAAAAACACAGCAAGCACAAACAATGTAGTTTAAGTGGGAAAGTGGACTGTCACGGGGTGCCCAGGGCCCCCCAAGTTTTGGACCAAACCATCAAACATGTATTTTTCCCACCGCAGTGACCCCATATTCGGAGTGAAGAGCGCATTTTTGTGGATTTGCGCAATGAGTGGACCTAACATTCAGAAAAGCTTGGGACTGGTCTGTTTCAAGAGATCTACTTGTCCATGGATTCGTGGTAAAAGGAGGTTAGCAGATTTCAGGAAGGGCCTTCAGCATTGGCCCATTTCCCCTGTACTTGCCAGGTGCTGAGAACCATTTAGATCCTGACACCAACTTTCCACCGCTTTGTTGCATGCAAGCGAGCTTTGATGAGTTCGGTTCGAAGCATGCGCATCTTCGAACAGATGCAAAGATGCCCTAATCAGGCACGGAAGAATCCAGAGCAGCCACCAACTTGGAAACACATGCACATGTTTTTAAATGGGTGCCAGTTCCAGCTTCATCAGGAGCCACCGCTGGTATATTGTTGTTGTTGTTGTGGTGGGGTGGTGGGTGGTGGTGGTGGTGGTGGTGGTGGTGGTGAGTGGTTGTTTTGGTGATTTCAGTTGGAGTATAGTTATCAGTTGGATAATGTTATAATTTTGGATAGTTATATATATATGTACCTTATTCGCTCAAAGGATCAGGCCCATCCAAATCCTTCTTCACGCTCCACGAGAAAAAAATCGTGCACAGCTGCGCAGGCAGCTCGGCGCGGAGCTTTTCCTCGGCGGAGGTCGAGAATCGGTGGAGGGACGGTGAGGTACCGGTGAAAGCAGAAAGTCTGGCCGTGGTTGGGTTCACTGGAGCAGGCATGACTTGTGGCCTTTGTGAAGAAGACATGGAGTATCTTATCATGGATGTACTTTTGAATGACTTGTTGATCTCAACCTCATGTAGGGCCTAAGGTGGGTTTCAAGCACCTTATCAATTTCTTGGTACTTAAGCACTTGCTCTAGGAGAATCGCAGTTCCAAATTGCAGGAGGCAAACAGACGGCCCCTGGTTGAGACCAATCTCACTGGGGGGCACCTTCTCTGGTTGACATGGGTGGTCAGTGCAACCAGAAGCCTTCTTAGCCATTTCTTGCTCTGGGGCTAGCCAAAAAGAAACAAACATCTTATGTGGTGTTCCTGCTGTTGTCCAGCTACTCCAAGCAGACGTTTGCGGGCTGATCGGTGAAGCAACATATAGTTGCATGATGTATCATGATGTTGCATGTTTTTCTTTGTTTATCCAACTTTGGAGTCTATCCATCAGCTCGTTTCATGTACATGACATCTGCCCACCCACCCACCTGCACTCCAGGAGCTTTTGGCCTCAAAGGAAGTGCGAGCCCGAGGGAGGAGTGGAGAGAGGAGGTCCGGAGGCCTTCAATGAGCAGCCTGAGTGCTCAGGAAATCGAGATGGATCCTTTGTTCAGATGTAAGCTATTCCTGTGCCTGTGCCATATCCAGGGAATTATTGAGGCCTAGACTTCTGGATCCCGGTTTGTCAGTGGCTATTTGGGAGGCAAGAGGCTGACATGGAGCTGATGTGCAAACTTTCGCCAAAAGATACCGTATGATTATGGGGTCAAACCCCATACACAAGCTAAACACCCAAACAATGACTTGAATCTGTCAGCCGCTGCCAACTGCGAAACATCCCAATGTGGAGATCAACCCATTATGATGAAGTGTCCTGTTTGTTGCTTTCCGGATTTCAGTGCCATGGCTGCTCTACCCAGAGATGATTCCACGATTCCTCACCGCCGGAGGCCTTTGACCTCGCACTTTGTGCTGCTCGCCGCACAAATGGCGGGACAGGGATGTGCAGTGAAAATCGGGTGGGTGGAGCCCAAAAGCTTGTTGCTTTCCCAACGCAAAGCAGTGTGTAGCTTGTTGGAAGATATTCATTTGTCAAGAATTGTTGTCGTATTGAATTGTTTTGTTTCCCCCTTGAAATCATATGTACCTATACAATACTATACATACATGTGTTAAACGTCATGGCTAGATCAGATCTCGAATCGAGACTGGACCCTTGGTTTATTTGAGAAGCCCTGGAAGCCCTGGTCCGATGCGATGGTGGCATGGAACTGGACCACACTTCAGCAGTAGATGCGCCGCATCAGCGTGTCCAGGTACCAAGAGAATGCTTTTTGGAGATACTACTGTTGGACATAAGCTAGAACAGCAAACTACACTTACTGTAAATGGTGTTGTAGCCTGACTGCCGAGTTTCAGTATTCACATGAAATGAAGCCCTAATGACCTAATGGCACTGGCCCTGAATTCATGATCCAGTGTGCACTTGAAGTTCGTCAACATCGCGCGCTTTGGGTTTCTGCAGATATGTTCAAAACACAATTGCTGTAAAGAGGTTCGGCACAATCAGAACAACGGATTCACAGCACTAAAGATCAGCATGACTTTGCTGGCCTGCAGAAGTGGAACTGCATCGTTTCAAGATGTGGTTTGCAATGTGTTGACGTTCCTTTGAACATGTCATGATGGGCCTGTGCCAAGAAGTTCGGGATGTTCTCGCACGCAGCTTTGCGCTGAAGCTCGACGACAGCCTGCTCCTTGGTAGGGAGAATACAAGATGATTACCGAGTGTTTTCTTGCAAACTGATGATGGATGCAGATTCATTTTGGGCCTTGCAGAACATGCACAACAAAATGAGTCAGGTCAGGTCAGGTCATTCTATTCCAATTTTCTTGAAATTGGTGGCTTATTGCTGCATAGTTGTAGGTTGCTATCTCAAATAACCAGGCATCAAGGCTATGGCTATGTTTTGCAGTCTCATGTGATAGGAACCCTGACTCAACCTCTTGTGGTTCAACTTGGTTGACCAACCACCCAGGGTCTTTACACACAGAAAGCTGCTGTTTGACTTTGCGCAACCAGGCGCTTGATTGTGGGGATCGTTGGATTTCACATGAAGTCCGTCGCAGAACAGGCCCCCCCGAAGGACGAGATTCCTCAGCATGCGCAAGTGGACTCAGAGCTTCTCCTTCGAGGGGGTGAGAATGAAGAAGCGTGGGAGTTGGTGGCCAAATGGCGAGTGCCTTAGAGACAGGTTGGAGGCCATCGCTATTAGGTTGGATTGCTATTAGGCGGAGGCCATCGCTACCCGTGGCCTCACAAGAGTTTCGGGCTCTGTCGGTTCTTTGGGGGAGCCTATTTTGGGGGAGTGCGACAACATGCGACAACGCCTGCAGCAATTCTAAGGTTTGGTTGCTTTTCTGGGCAGGCTTCTCCAAAGATTTTGAAAGTGGTGCCTTAGAGGGTGGTGAGATCTTGACTTTGGAGGACATCGCTGCAGACATGGCGATGTTGCTTGTGGAGAATGATTTCGACTACGAGCGTTTGGTGAATCGTGAAGGTTTGCTTTGTTTGGTGCGTGACATGCATTGCACCTTGGTGAATAGAGTCAGCGAGATGATCCTTGAGACTACTTCTTCAGATGGAGACGAGATTTTGTCTCTGATAAACACGCTGATCCGAGACACCAAGCATCTCAGTCCGACTCAGTGTTTTTGCTTTTACGTTGGAGGCCATTGCTATTAAGTTGGAGGCCATCGCTAGTAGGTTGGAGACCATCGCTAGTAGGTTGGAGGCCATCGCTAGTAGGTTGGAGGCCATTGCTAGTAGGTTGGAAGCATCTCAGATGGTGCCGAGCAGCATTGCTTTTCTGACGGGGATGTGCTCCAAAACATGTACTGTAGAGTGGCCCAGTTTGGGGTGCCGTTGACCAATTGTGGTTGTGTAACTTGTGCCTCGTACTTGTGACTTTTTTGCTGCTACATACCCTCAACAGAGGACCAAAGACAGTTGCAGTACCTCCACAGCTGTGTACCTTGAAGCCATCGTCTCAGCCAAGCGAAGGCAGATAAACGGAAACCAAAGCACGGGAAAGCCGTTGCTTGGATTGGGGAGCTGAGCGTTGGTCACAATTGGGGTTGTCCCACCCCCGCCAACCCACATTTTGGGGGGAATTCATCTAGGTACGTGAACGGACCGAGACCTCCTTAAATTATCACGGTGAAAGTGGGTGTGCAGCAGGATGCTTGCTCAACTTTTGAACTGTTCCAACTCCAAGGCCAGCTGTGGTGAAGGATAGTGATGTGAACCAGAGACATTTGGTGCAAGTTCTGGCTCTAGTCGCTCTCCACGCTTTGGGGCCTGACAACTGCCTGCTCCATCTCAGAGTGTGTCGAGGAGTCTGCAAAGACTTGGAGATCTCAACGAAGAGGAAACTTAGTCGTCGGAGAGCTCCTTGGACTGGAAGGCCGGAGAAAACGTATTCAATCCGAGTGCAATCACCTGGGGCCTATCCAATTGATGATGGGGGTGTACCCATTTACTTCCGTGAAGGGGGGGTACCCCAGTTTCATTAGAATGTATATTGATATCATATGTATATATGTACTATGACCAATAATAAGTAAGTATGGATACATAATACATACTGTATCTCTCTATATGTATATATATATATTACGTACATGTACATATATATATATATATTATAGTAGTATGATTTTCTGAATAGCACGTCCATGTTTTGTCACACAATATATTTGTCCTGCCTATACAATACTGGCATTAAGCATCATCGAATGAGTTCCTGCCATTTGACTCAGACGTGCCTAGGCACTCTTGGCATTTGGTCCCACATCACCTCCATTTGCTTACTGAGGCCTTCAGCTACACGACATTCGCGGGAAGGCCCGTTTTAGCCCGTGGCTTCGAGGTCCAGTGGTCCTACCTGCAAGCTGTTTCAGTAGAAGAGCGTGGAGAAGGCTTGCCCAAGGAAGTGCCGGCCAGGTATTACAAGACAGCTCCTTGGCCAAGGAGGACTAAACCCTTTTCCTAATCATCGAATTGTACTTGTAATTGTAATTGTTGAATTTGTCGTGTACATCGGGGTTATGGGAGAGCTGAATGCATGTAATGTAATGTTTGTTTTTTGTACCTAGATGGTTGGAGAAGTGCATCCTGCAATGTTGTTTCTGAGTGTTGTCAGAAGTAAATCATGTAACATATTGTAACATCATGTACATTAGCCGGTTGAGGCAGGATGAGAGCATGATGCATAAATCCCGACGTTGACATTGTTTGACTCAAGCTAATGTAGAGTTTATTGTTGCCCAGATGGGCAGTCCTACTATACTTCTTAAGGGTCCGATGAGTACGGGCGAGTATATGTATATTCCGCTGACGACCCTGGAGCATGGCAAAAACGCCAAGGTTCGGTATAACCGTTCATAGTTTAGTTTCCTTGCGGTAACGAACGAGTTGCACGGGAAAGATTCACTTCAAGCACTGCGCTATGCACATTGAGCAGCGTCAAAGGTGCAACACACTCAACCTTGTCGCCGTCAACTTTTCCGCGAGCGCGGGCTCAACCACGACCCCTTCTGTGACATGGGCGGGCGCGGTGCGGGACCGCAGCACGGCACGCATCCCTTTCGCTGTGGTGGCCCTTTGTCATAGCCAATCAGTGTACCAGGGTAACGCCGCAACGCCTTTCAAAAAGAATCCGACGGTCCGGGAGACATCATTAAGAAATCTACACTTATTGGTCAATTGTTATAATTGGTTATCAATGGGTCCACTTGTTTGATAACTCTTTGGCACTTTTTTGGCAATGCGACGGCTGACCGACCTCGCCCAGCGCTTATCGGACACCCTATCAGGAACATGTCGGCCCCTTTCCGCTACTCTCACGCTCATCATCCTAGAGCGCTGTCAGCAGATTCATACCAACCCTCCATAGATGGAGCGCACTTCCGGGTGTATGACGGGATGTGCCTATTTAGATCTATTGATATCTATTTATATATGTGCTGGTTCCTCAGCGTGTTAAAAGAGCAGAAAGAATGCCAGCTATTACCCAAATGATGTGTAAATTTGGCAGTAGCACAGAGACAGACCTCGATTGCTCACCTCAGCGGATCCGTTCCCGAGGTTGGCCTCGGACCAGAGCTGTTCGGGATTGTCGATGATTCTGTATACTATAACCACGCGCTGAGATGGCACAGATACAAATCGGGTTGCTTGAAGCCGTGGGATACTAATTCGGATGACTTGCTTGGAACTTCTTAGGAGGTTACTTTGCTGATGAACCTTTTTTGTGATCAAGATTCCTATTTCACAGAGTTCCAAAATAAGTAGTTTCAGGCGCTGGTTGCAAAACATCATGCTCTTGGAAGTTTGAATCAGCAAGTTTGAGGAAACATGCGCGCATGCATCATACACGTTTCAATTTGATTGCTTCAGGTTGGCTTAGCAAATCCAACTGTTTAGTTGTACAGTTTCGGTCACGGTCAGGAAGGACAGGAATTTGGAACCCTGTCCACACAGAATCCATTTGCACCACTGTCCGAGTTGGCGACTGCCCTATGTCTACAGGTGACGCATCATGGGCAAGGGCAACAAACTGGTGCCTTGGCACTCTGTATCAGATGTTTGCCCTCATTTCACCACAAATCCCGGACGCTTTGCAGGAATGTTTTTGGTCATGCCCAAACTTGCCCACACGATGCAGGATACTATGTGCAGGCCATCGCTGCACATGTTTTCACATCAGCTCTTTGGAGAGCTCCGCGACTGCGAGAGGTTTAGTAAACTTCGTGATTTGATGGTGACCGTCAACAAGCATTGACAGCCTTGGATGAGGCATTCCCAATTGCTGGAATTTACCTAATGTACCTTTCCCAAAACTAACACAGCACGCACCAAGTCACGCACCAGTAAAACAGATTGAGCCAACGGGGTTACCTAGTCAGTGGTTTCGTTTTAATACTTTGGAATGCAACAACATGGACAGGTTGCATAACTGTTGTTTTTCTAGGAAACCCAGGAGGCAACGTTCAGGTCACTCAGCACTGGGATTGGTGCCAAAAGTTTGATCCGGGTGCAACATGGCATACCTGAAGTCTACGGCGAATGGCGATAATTAAGATCCTGGAAGACGGAGCGCATGATAATTGATAGTCACCATGATGGCAGGGTGTGATTTGGGTTTCTTCTGACTGATGGCGTGCTCCTTCCTTAGGGAGGAGGTGTTCAATGAACTGTTTTATACGTGTAATTATATATATATATATGTGTGTTCTAAATCTGAAGTAGATCGATCAAACGAAAGTTTTGTTCTCGCACCTCTCTACTGCACGTTACCATGAGACCAGTAGACACAGTCTACAACAGTCTACTGCATTCTACTGCAAGATTTTATGTTTGTAGATGCTGACCCATTGCATCACTCACACCTTCACCCCTGAAGATTTCAGAGGGAGGGTTGGTGCGAGATGTGTGACGTACTGTAAAGTCTGTTCTTTTTCTATTCGCATCAGTCGAGCTCAACTCCTGCCCTGCTGCCCTTTGCCGCCCTGCCACTCTCCTGAGAAACCGCCAAAGACCCGACGAGAGGTATCATCATTGCAAGGTGACCGGTTGGCTTAGATGGTCTGGTGAAGTTTCCTGGAGTCTCCACAGAAATCAGGGTTGCTCCGAGCTGCTTCATGCACAAGCACGCGGGTCAGCAGTTGCTCATGCATTATATACCAGTTCTTTTGCAATCCAGAGACAACAGAGATGCTGGCTCAACATACACGCTCCTTTCATAGAACGTGAATGAACGATGTCAATGACCGAAACCAAAGTAATGCGTTGACAGACATTGAAGACACATCAACAGAGAAGGCTTGAACACACCAGGGAGCTTGGGGAAAAAAGAACACCTATTCCTCTACCGGGCCGGACACGGTTTGTTTTCTGGGCTCTACTCTCTGCCTCAATGACACAGAAATCCGAAAGGAACATGGTTCCTGGTGACACGATGTTAATGTTTTTGTTCCCCTCCATTCCCTTCCCCAGAGGATGTTTTCTAGGTTAGGTCTGAGTGTAGACCCCTCAACACTAGCATCCTGAACAAGTTGCGCTTGGAAGACCATGTTGTTTCTCCAAGATTCATTGAAGAGGGCATTCCATCTCTGAGACATGAAAGAGCTATTACAGTTCATTACTGAAGGATTCATAACTGAAGACGTGTTCATTATAGTTCATTTACAGTGCTTTCAGAGGCTCGATGGCACTGGCGCCCCAATGTCAGTGGTTTAGATGGACCCTCATCTGTCTAAGACATCTTGGGGTGCCATCGAGCCTCTTCGACCTCTGTAGGGACTTGAAATCAGCAGACCACGTGTTTGACCCGCGTGCACTGCAGCCTGGGAGCCTCTCCTGGGCTGCCAATACGCCTCTGTTTGGGGTGTTCTGTGGGAAAAAGCAGAAGCGATTCAGCGGCGCGCAGGAGGTCCACACCTGCGGAGACAAGGGAGACCCTGTGATTCTCAGGGCTCCGGGTCTTGGAAACCCCGCGCTTTTGGTTTCCCCGCGCATTTATTTGTTTGCGGAACAGGTTCTGGGCATGAGTTTTTAAAGTGACACTATGTTCCACTATTTTTCTCTGGTTGATTCGAGAGTTTCTGTGACACACAAATTATATAAGTGATATTGTTAAATGTGTTTCACGTGTTTTTCTTCCTAGGAGGATCACCCCCACCTGTTGAACGAACGACCCGAACGACCCTGATGAGTTGCTACAGCCGAGGACTACCAGATACTACCAGTTCTCATTGAATTGCAATGTGACTTACATCATCCAAGAAAAGAACTTGTTGCCATTCTAGTGGAAGCTTTCTGGACCACCACTTGGCCAGACGAGTCTGGCAAGAAATGCTCCTGTCGTGGAAGATCAAGAACTTCATTGCTCGCGCTTCACTGGGCTTCCTAAGTGCCCGACCGAGCCTTTGTGAGCGGGTTGTTCGGATCTTGAAGCTTTGAAGGGTGTGTTCAGTAGTGAAATCACTGAAAATCATCAGTACCTTTGCCTTTATTGTGATATATATATATATATGTGTGTGATTGTGTGTGTTATATACATAAGCTCACTACCTCGATCTGAGTTCAGACCCACTGCAAGCAGGATTTGGGTGGGATCCTTGCAGTGACCCCATTTGCGGAAGCATGCGATTCCAGAACGGTTTTTTTCATTCTTGCGTGTGTGAGTAAAATGTTGTCATTTACTGTTCCTATGTGTGAACTTGGGCACTGCGTTTATGCACATTCAGTGAAAACAATCAGCCACCGTCCCCTGTAGACGGCCCAAGGATTTGGATTTGGCCCCGCCCTTGCTGGAAGCCGCTTCGTCGGGTTGCCAAGCCCTTGCTGTTGCCAGGCTGCCTCTCGGTCAGACTTCGAGGTTTGTAGACATGCCGATGATGGAACCCTTACAGTGATGCAAGCTTCGACTCTACTGAAAAACAGTCATAGATGGAGGACGCCCTTGTCTTTTAGCGTTTATTCTACGCACGATCCTGAGTATCTACGTGACATGTATTCTGAGTTGATAGGATAAAATGAATTCCAGGTTATACAATCGTTCTTGCTGGCACACATGTCATACTTATATCATACATAACTACATATTATTCATAATCGATATGACTTTTGGACCGTGAATCCAGTGGACCTCACCCCACCAAGGGACGCCGTGCCCAGCGTGGTGCTCATGTGCCCGAAGCGTCGGGCGCTCGGACCGAGCGCCACACAGCGCCGTGCTGGATGGAGTTGGGACCGGTTCGATGTATTTTTCTTTGGTTCGAACCAACCTAGTAGCAATGGCCTCCAACCTAACCACCGGATTGCTGGTTGATGCCGGTTTTGCTGGTTTGGAAGGTTTGAAGAGGGGCCACTGTGGACGGGAATCAGTTCTGAGCATGCTTAGAACTGCAGCAAGTGGTGAACCCAGGAAGGAGGCTGAATGCTGTCAATGAGCTGCGCAATGGAACAGAACAAGCCGGTATCAATTATCAATGATGTTTCATGTACATAATTACCTGGGCCAAACAAAAGCAATCAAAGTCTTTGTGCTCATTCTCAAAGCTGTTGTGTTCTTTTCTACAGAGCCTTTGTTTTGTGGAAGACACGCGCAAGCCCACACACGCACGCAGAATCAAAAGGATGACCAACATGTTGCTTTTTGGTGCTGAAGCGGGGTGAAAGGTAAGTCACAGTTGGATGTTGTCAGCCCTGGTGAATGTGAGTGGATTCATACACACCTGGCCATTGGTGTCCTTGCCAGAAGGTTTGGCAAGAAAATTCCTGTGCGGAGAATCAGTATAGAGTATCAGACCTGATCTTTGTTTCAATAAGAGCTCCGCCCGCAGATGAAAAGGTTTGCAATTGTTATTGTTCATAATGTTTTTGCCAAAGTAGCATTCCAACTCTTCAAGTAGATTATTCAAGGAAGACCTCTCCAGTGAGGCAGATAGAAAAGGACAAGTAGCGACCCATAGCCTTGAAGCTAAGGCTCTCCGTACCCACAAAGTTTTTGGGTATGAAGAGCTAGAACCCATCTCTTTGCGTGCGAGTTACATTTTGCTGACAGGTACAGGGGAATGTATGCAGGTACAGGTGCAGGTCTACCTTTCTCAACAACACACCAAGCTGTTAGATCAAGTTAGAAGGTATCACGCCATCTTGCCTTGCCGCTATGCTCAATGAATTCCTCGCATGGGAGGCATGGATAAACGCCTGGTGAGCGCTTGCATTGAGAAGGGCGCCAAAGGCTACGTCTCAAAGCCTCTTCGAGTTGGAGGGCCCAGAGCGGGACGAGTGGCGAGAGGGAGAAGCCCACACGGACGACACCGCGCCGGGCCTTGGACTCGTGTCACCGTGGAAGCGTTTGGGCGATACGTTATTTTTGCCCGGGAGGGGGGGTAGGCAGATAGAAGAGCGAGGTAGGTTATCTAGAGGTAGCTAGTAGAAGCTAGGGAGTCGCTATAGTAGCTAGCAGCAGGCAGGATAGCTCACGCTTCTTCAAAGAAGCTCCCCCCGCCGTCCTAAAGGCGACGGGGGGGAGCTTCCTTGAAGAAGACTAACGATTTGGTTCCTAGATTGTTGGGGGAACTGGTAGCATGTGTGACCTATAACAAAGTGACAGAAGATTGATGGTCCATCACAGCTTGTTTGTTTAAAAAGAAGCACTGCGGGTTTGAGCCAAAAAGGGTACAACATGGTACAACATGTTGTGATGTTTCGTTGTGGAGGTCACCGGGAGGTCAGCCACCCAAAAGCAGTGTGTTCTGTTTGATACATCTATTTGCAGTATTCAGTATTCGTATAATATCCTATATTGTTTGGCCAGACTTTTCACTCTACCCAGAAACTAGCGGCGAACTAGCGTAGATTAAGATACACGAGAGCCAGTGGTATACCATGCTAGATCGTGGGTTGGTTGGAATCCATTTGTTTCAGAACGCACTTGTATTGTTTCCTGCTCCTCCCCAGGGAAACAGGAACACTTGGGAATGCTAGGTCTTTGTTTCACAGCTCGGTCCATGTCGGCTGTGAGTCTGTTGAGTCTCAAGATGCTGGAGCCGCCGCACGCAAGTTCAGTGAACTCAGACATACATAAGATGAATATATATATATATATATTCTTTTTCTTTTCGATCATTTGTAGGACAAATGATGGGGGTTGTTCTTTCTGTCCAAAACAGTCTTTCAGACGTTCAGATCCGTCTGGTCGCCAAATTTCGATCCTCCTGACATGCTTAGATCCTCCCATGACGGACGTTCTGCTCGCTCTGCTCGGACCAGGTTCAGGCCATTCGGGGCGTCTTGCTGCGCTACGCGGATTCGGAGGCCTGCAGATGTTCGGAGGCTGAAACTCAGTTGGCAGGAGAGCCAGCCAACTAACTACAAGAGGTTCCAAGCTCTTTGTCCTTACAGTACAAAACCACCATCACTTGGCATTACTTGTCAGAATGCGGGTGTGTGTGCGACATATACACCATCATACACCTTATATAAGTGTATGGACCTTACTGTCCCATGTATGAACACCATAGTTCTTGTTAAAATCAATAACGTGCTGATTGCTTTCCAACAGATGCTACACTGCTACATGTGCACAGACCCAATGGTTGGTCTTTTCACAACCTATTTGCCGGGTGTCCAGGGTCTTCCGGCAAACGCCGACCCGGCAGCACTTCCGCGCAAACAAAGGCGTCCCCCTCGTCGCCCAGCGGGAAGAGCGCCAGCTACGAGCGGGTGCCATCCACGTCGAGGGGATGGGGCAGACGGAGTCGAGCGTTGGAAGAGGCGAACGAAAGAACGCCAGTGGCACAGGCGTCCAGTCATAGCTCATTGTGTAATTGTTAACAAAAAACCACAGGTAGTATATTAATTAGTATATTGTTATTATAGGTTACCAAGAGGGTGCACCTTGATACATGAAATAAGGGAGACTGATGGAGTCAATTGATGCAAGAAAGCGCGGGGTGCGCGGGGTGGATTGAAACAGAACATGTCAGAACACATTGGAGAAGTGACCTACTCATGTTGAATGGCTGTCCCATGATCGGGAAGCAAATGTAATTTTAGTTCTGAGTCCTTGTCCTTGGACTTTGAAACAACACACATCTCTTATGCAGCACATGGCACGTGCCAGATCCATCTCCACAGTATCCAGTATCCACCATCCATCTCCATCCCCGTCAGATTTTGCAGGGGTGTCTCTGCGAAACACCTTGTGTTTAAGTATTTGATGTGTTATTTTTTCATTTGTGCATGTTTCAAAGCTCAGTGTGAGGGTAGTTCCACCATTTGACGTGCTTTTGTTTTTCTACATTATCCTGTTTCATTGTTACAATAACTGTTACTGTATGTTCTGACCGGACATGTACAAGTACTGTCGTGCCTTAACTGGAACAAGAAGAGCCCCTTCAATCGGAGCCTTGCAAAACTGATAGGGTCGGAAGAATTGGGTGTTGGTACTGTGCATTTGCTTGTTTGAGTGCTCACAAATTCTCGCGATCTCACCATCCCATGGATGTTGGGAGATCTGCAAAACGTGAACTGGACAACGCCAGAGACGAAGACTCAGCTTGATCCAGCTTGCTCCCACATGTGCCGAAGGCCATTTATGTCAGGTGAGATTCTCACCATCCTCCAGAGCCTTAAAAGAGAGCAACAACAACTGGACTTTGGCTCAAGCAGCAAAGATTTGCTCAAGCCATCCCATGGAGGATCCGGTTGTGTTTTTGTGAAATCAGCGCCTCGGCAAGGCGGACAAGTGCTGAAACAAAAACAGCTTTTTGACCGGATAGATCCTTGGTGGCCGGGAAAACCGCTGGGCAAACAACAAGCACTTTTAAACAAACCGGGTCCGGAACGAACCTGAACGATCCCGGGAACGGCTTCGGACACAGTGAGGTCCATCGATCGCCCGACTTCGGATGGTTCGAAGGAGTGAGGGAAGACACCCGGAAGACTTGTTACTAGAAGCGATGCACTTGTTACCTAGTAGCTTCTTGTTACTACTAGTAAGGCACCTGTTACTACTAGCGTGGCACTTGTTACTGGGAATTAGCTTGGTGTTTTGTGGAGAACTGGAGTAACTGGTTGAGGTGTGGCAACACTCTTTGAGCGAGGCTGAGCAAATTGATGGATGTGGGGTAATCGCAAGATCACATAACCTCACAAGAGAATGCAATGCATTCAATAGATGGTCAACAACAATAGACATGGCAATTACAATGTATGATTTGACTCACAGATACCTTTGCATAGACAAACATGTCGATCCATCTCCATCTCGATCCTTAGAAGGCGGTCCGGACCTCAAAGACCAGCCCACAGCTAAGGGGTGGGACGAGGGATTACTGTACCAGGTACCACCCCGAAAAGCTGGACGACTCGTTCGTAGATGAAGATGAAACGGCTGGACGCAAGCCGGTATGTTGGGATTCCCATGTCACTGGTTCATCCAGACAGGAAAAACACCTGACCTACAACCCTTTGGGAAAGAGAAGTCATGTCAATGAGATGCTGGAGGGAAGCTGTTACCAAACTGTATTTGTCCTGAAGTATAGAAAATAGCCTGAAGCAGTTCGTTGTCAGCCAGGCTCAGGGTCTATGCCAGTTCTTGCATAAGGTGCGTCAATGTAAACCTCCGATCCTCTCCACTTAGGGTGTTGCGGTACCTTTAAAAAGGAAAAACACCTGAAAAGAAAGGAAATTGAATCTGTGTCCAGCAACCTGGGGATCTTGACAGGTCAGCACCCTGGGTGCCCACGTGACACATCCAGTCAGCACCCTGGGTGCTCCGCTTGAGGACCTTCTTTTCATATTGCGCTGGTGCCCATGGTTGCTGAGAAGCCCTGGTACCAGAAGCGCCTTAGCTCTCGAGTCATGGGTCCTTTGCTTCAAAATAAACACATGCATATATATATATAATATAACTAAATACATAATTAATCATATATGTATAACAAAAATGAGGTCCCCCAAACATATCGAGCGGTCTGTTGGTTGATGTTTCCTGCTAGCCATCCTGGATGTCTCATAATCGGACCTAGTCATGGAACCCTCACCGTTTGTGGGACTTGCAATCATGCTGGAGATGGCTGAAGCAGCTGGAATTAGGAAACACCAGCGGGGATGTGGGCCCTCTTTGAGGTGTGCTGTTCTGCTCTTGGGTTGTCCCCCATGCGGGTGGTACACCTGGTTTGGCTGGGTGGGGATCTTTGGGTTTTGGTGGTTTCTTGAGGTATCTCGGGTTTCCGTTGAGAAGTTGATTTCTACAAGGGGAAGGCAACAATCTAGCAGACCAACCAGGTTTATCCAAATAAGCTCAGCAAACAGAGACGACAAAATACACATCAAACAAACCAACGAGTCACTACACTCCTGGAACTAACATGGAAGTGGATGGCATGGCCCCTTGGAAGCCAATTTTCCTCTACAAATGGGGTGTTTAATGCCACTTCCATGTCTGTTAGTTATAGGGAGAGTAGCTCCCTCCCTTTCGTTTGTCCTGAACATTGGTCACATGGTTTCCAGTCACCTCCGATCGGTTCGCCGCGGGAACTCACAGCTGGGATTCGCAGAGGGCCAACACATGCAAAAACATATTTGTCATTTTGCAGTCCTTAGACTAATAGTCTTTGTCAACCGAGGCGATGAAAGCATCTCAAGGTGGCTATATAAATCCCTCTTGGGGGGGGGTCTCCTCATTCTCCTTCATGAGTCGTGAAATCGATCGCGAACTCTTCCGAAGATCGATTCCGTTACTGTATTTATAAAGATATTGGCTAGCAATGGCTAGCAGCATGCGGCTCAGAAACCCAGCCTATCCCTGCAGATGATTGACATGAACAGAAGCTGCGGTCCGATAGGCTTTCAATTTTAAAGCCATACTGAGGAACATACCAAATCATATCAAGATTCTCTAAGCAAGAACGCCACCACCGACCACATAGGAAAAAACAAAACCAGCTTCGGAACCTCTGAGACGCTCAGGGCCTTGAAACAACTACAAGGCACGTCCGTCCCTTCGATGCCCCGCGACTCGAGAGTCGGCCGGTGGGGAAGCGAATTGGGGGTGGCGCGGGAGCCTCCATCCACTCGCGAGCGCGAGCTGCGGGGAGTCGGGTAGTGTGACGTTTGTGAGTGATGGTTTCATATTGTTTCTTGGTTGTACCGTAATAGTCTTCTTTGTTCCGACCATCCAAAAGAGTCCTACGCCAGGTCATGTGGAGCAGGATCCGGCTGAGGAAAAGACTCTGGTGCTGCAGACCGTGAGTGTCATTGCTTCCAACATCTCTCATTGTGTATTGTCATCCATGTTTTGAGATTATTGTGTGTTATTTATTGGGGCGTTGACACACTGCTTTGGGGTGTTTATTGTGATCCAAGCAGTGTGGCAACAACAATTGCTCCCCCCTAACAAGCGATTCTGCAGTAGGGGTCCCTATTCCTAACCTTCACCATCCACTGAGTCCTCCGGATCACCGGGTTGGGGAACCCTCATGTTCAAGACCACCTTCATCAACTCTGCTTCCCCTACTTCTAATGTTGAAAGAATCCCTATGCCCTATGCCCCTATGGTTTGTGGATCCAACTGGATCCTCAAGTAGTTTGATCTTCAGAATGTGCGTGGACCTCCAGGGAAGCAACACCCATCTCACACGGTTGGGCGCCACAGGCCATCGTTGGGTGCGCTGCACCTCGGAATGGGTGCCCTGACGCGCTGAGCCGCGTCTCCCGTTGCGTCGCGGCTGTCCGCAGTGGCCAGCGCAGAGTCCGTTTGCGGAGACATTTATTGAAAGCACGTGGAAGGTCTGGCCTAAAGAGAACTCATGAATGAAGGGAATTTGGCTTCTGCTGGAGCTTGGCCCAACATTTTCATGGCTTGTACCAAGAATTGCTGCTTCTGAAACACCATGTCGCTGGTGTTGATGTCATAAGTTGACAAGCCAGCTGTCTTTCTGTCAATGTGTCGACCAGGATCTTCCAACAGGTGTTCTTTGCAGGTTAGACTTCAACAGACAGTAGACTCTATAGCCAGTGGATGCCCCCATGCTACCCCATTTGATCCTTGCCAATTTTTGTTTTTGTGTCAAACACCAATCCCTTTCTCCGAAGGGTTTCCATTCATGAATTTGGGACACTTTGGCTTCATGGTGACTTGCGTTTTGAGCATCCCGGGTGTCCTTGTTTTGAGCATCATGTTTTTGTTCATTGGACATTTGACCACTCAGTCCCAGACTTCCCATGATTTCTTCGACACTGGGTCGCAGCTGGACCACACATACGCTAAGCTTACAAGGTGTGATAGTTCCCCATTCAAAGACTTAAGTGAAGCTATGCCGCTATACGTTCTTTCACAACCCCTCATGCGGTTCCTCCTTTTGTGTTTTCCCTTGTCTCCCCGCCCTCTTCTCCTTGTGCGACCCGAAACAAACCGAAGAGTCAACCGACAAACTCCAGGTGATCCGACACACCAACTCCAAGACGGTCACCGCGTGGCTCCTCATCGATCTCATCATCTCCCTGGCCGCCCGGTCTGCGGGACCCGGCGCATGTTCTGTGGCGGGTGACCCGTAACCCGCGTCGTTCCGCGTAACCAAAGACCGTGGAACCGCGACTGGGGGTGACTGGTGTTTTCAGGATTGATTTGTTCGATCCTCCTTGCCCGTCCTGACTGACTAGAGAGTATACGTTCATCACCCTTGAGCTTTGGCTACAGTGTGAGCTGGTGGGAACAT